TGTGTATTTAATTCTATGCATTTTGATGAGTTCTATCGGCCCACCTTATTTATATTATAGGTCAAGGTCACTGTGGCAATGTGTAGATTACTATCCGGCACTGAGAAACATGGAGCGCGCTGCTCCTTGGACAGTTTAACCTTTTACTGCATGAGCATATTATGAGAAATAGCTATTTTCATTGAAAAGCCTTCTGTTACAACAAGCTCAACCTGCTATGAAACTATAAAAAATGCTTCAATACTGTTCAAACTTGGCACAAGTATTGACTGGACCATCAAAATCGCCAACAATCACTATTTTGAGTGGGGTTTTTTTCAAAACTGATTTCAAAGTGCTCAATGGATTGAGATAGAGTCGTTGCTTACACGTTACGTCCAGACCGACAGTTAGGCATTTTTAGCTTCCCACCAGTCCAAAATCTTCTTAACTATGAAGGGGGAGGGGGCTGCTGACCCCCTTCAAACACCCCAAGCAGAAGTTGGCATATCCCCCTCTGGCACCTCATTAATGTACTGTTTTATAGGGGACGACACCGAAAATGTGATCACTTTTCTAAAACATTTCTCAAAACGGAAACAGTTGGAGCCAAAATGGGGCATTTTTCACTGTTTGAGGGAAAAGTCGTTAAAACTCGTCTAAATGAGGCTCAAAAGCCTAAAGACACAAAATTTAAATTCTAAGTAGCTTGTGAAAGAATTGAAATGGAAACATTTGCAAATGGTAATAGAGAAAGAAATCATAATTGAATCGAATATCATTTTTGTGCGATTGTGAGCTCAAATGCGTGAAAAGCTTTCCCCAGATCACTGATTATTCTGGAAGTTATTTGTCCAGAACTAAATCAAATGATACTCAAATATCTGAAAAATATATTTCCAGTCCCGTCATGCCCATATCAAAAATCTTATTTAGCTTTTGCATAGCAACATGCATTAGGAGTCAAAGATTTTCGTCGTTGCTGAGAGTTGTTATATGGTTTATGCTAAACAGCTCAATACGGGGACGAACTGCAGTGGTTATCGCATAATTTAGTCTTCTGAAAATTGTTATTTTACTGCGACGTGTATAGCTTTAATCTATGTCGTTTAAGAGACGGTACTGAAGTGTTGGTCTGATACAGGCTTATGGTATTTTGTCATCGAACATCAAAAATACATGTTATAATAGATCTATATTAAACACATAATAACAGTTGTCGTGGCCGAGTGGTTAAGGCGATGGACTAGAAATCCATTGGGATCTTCCCGCGCAGGTTCGAATCCTGCCGACAACGAAAATATTTTAGATTTTAAGGCATTTAAATATTGTAGCTAACAAAACGATTTTAGGCATTTAAATATTGTAGCTAACGAAATCAAAATATAAAGTTGAAACATAAGTTTTTATGTAAAATTCAAAAATGTTATGAAACAAACCATCTATTAAATAAGGTTAGTAAACAGTTGTCATTATTACAAATATGGTACTGTTGAAGTGTATTTATTTCGGAACCGTTGTTAACATAACATGGTCAGTATGTATAGGTGTATGGGTAGTATTGTAATACTTATTGGGCATACTATTTGCAGTGAGACATTGTAGTGTAGTGGTAGCGCGCTGGTCTATCAACTATACTTATGCTGGTTCAAATCCCAGCAATTTCATTTTTTTAATAATATATTTTTCAATGCACGGGTACCTCTCAAATGTGTGTCATGCATATAAATAACACGATAAACAAACTTGCATTCGACATTTTACGGAAACCATTACTTTTTCTCGAAAAGACGAAACTAATAAGATTTTATATTAAGTAAAAGTTATTATAAGAATAAATCAGTTCAGCCAAATACAAGATAATGAAATCTCATGTTGAATACAATCCAAATGAGCTAAGTGCTACAAGTGACCTAATGGTTTACAACGAAAATTATCTATTTATTGCGAGCATGCGAGTCCTGAGCTATTTGGTTGAAGTGTATGTTATGGCGCTGTTTGAAGGACGCCATCACACTTTTTGTACTTGATCCTGTTAGAAACTTGTACTTGCAAATAGTGTTATAAGCTTCATTGTCTATTACCATGATAGTGTTTGCTGGAATATACTGGATAAGCTTTTGATTAAGCCACTTAATGAAAACCTCGCATTCATTTATCTGTGGTAATTACCTGTTGAGGTATTCTCTTGGCATTGGAGACGAACACGCCAGAACCAGCGCAATTAGGAGTGCCACAGAAGTTGAAGACATAGTTTGAATTGTTGCATTGAATTGAATTGTAACATATCATAAATGCTATAGCATTCTCGCGAATAAAACATGGAAAATATATCAGTCTAGATAATGTTCAATTACCTGTTTTTCTGGTAATGCGTTTTCGTATATGGTTTTTTCCTGCCACCCTTTGCACATTTAATTTTAAGATTTCCCATTCTCGATCATATTTGAATCGACAGTAAGTATGTGTTGGCGCAAAAAAGTATAAAAACCATCTTCAAACGTATGTTAATACTTTATTTCCCACTGACCTTCACATTTGTTCATATATCTATTGATAAAAACATAGTATATTTTATAGAAGAGTAGTGTTTCTTGCTCAACAGTATTATCTACACAAGAGTTGTCGTGGCCGAGTGGTTAAGGCGATGGACTAGAAATCCATTGGGATCTTCCCGCGCAGGTTCGAATCCTGCCGACAACGAAAATATTTGACATTTCGATGCGAAATGTAATAAAAATGATAAACAAACATAGTTCATTTTGTGTTTCTTGTTATATGTTTTATTTTTTGGTTGTTTCAACTTTCTAATTAAAAGGGCAATTCTCTTCTTTGACACACCGGGATTGTTTTCTTTTTTTTAAAGACTAATTTTCTAGTTATTGGGGATAATTCAAGTTCATGGATTATTCTCTTGTTTAGGATTTATTTTCTTGGTTATTTTCTTCTCTAAAGCCTTATTTTGCATCTAAAGAGTTACTCTCTTTTTTACGGATATATTTTTTCTATTAACGGCGGTTTTCTCTTATTTTAAGGATTTATTTTTCACTTTTCTATCAAAAGGGGCTAAGGGATTTACTTCTTTTTCTCTCTCTTGTCATTCAGATATAAATATATGCTAAAAAACTGACATGTATATAGAAAGCGGTTTCGATTTCTTCGGGGTTTATAAAATCGTGGGAGAAGATTAACAATAAGAAGTTGATAAACGCGTGCAACTGGTATGTGTATAAACCTGCACGAGAGCCGTTACACGTGCAACTATTCGAACAACTAGGTATTTTTTCTTTCTGCTGAATGTACATGGCACACACATATTGCATTCATAACAGATAAAGCTTGAAAAAGGGTTAATATAATGCGTAAACTGAAATTCTCTCTGGATCGTACATCTTTGAAAATTATTAACATGATACTTTGGAATATGGTGATGTAATTTGGTGCAATTGTAACCAATGTGAACTCAAACTACTTGGTAGGATACACAGTGAATGTACACACATTGCAGCTGTTACAACTAAGCTTATCTCCCTAGAAACTCTACAGAAAAAAATCATTGGGAGTCATTATTCGAAAGAAGATATAGACACAAACTGTTTTACAAAATGCAGTCAAATAAAACACATCAATAGCTCTAATTATTTACACCAAATCCAGATCAATCACGATACAGCTTACAAAACGCTGAAAGTATCAGGACAATTGCGTCAAGGACTACACTATACTATTATTCTTTCTTGCCATCATTTATTTGTGATTGGAACTGTTTACCAGTAATAATACGGAACAGGTCAACACTTTCTTCATTTAGAACTTTCTTAAACAAGAACATGAAAATGATACCAAAATACTTTTATATAGGTAGACGTAAAATGCAGGTCCTTCACACAAGGCTTCAAACGAACTGCAGTCATGTAATCAGATCACCACCTCTTTATGAAAAACATTGCTCTTACCCCTATATGTCATTGTGGGCAAATTGAAACTACCCATCATTTCATTTCCGAGTGTTGTGCATATGATGCCTTCCGCAGAACACTTCAATATAAACCTGAATATACTTCTGTATGGTGACCCATCTCTTACATACTAGGACAATGCTAATATATTAACACATGTACAAACTTGTATAGAACAAACGAAAAGATTTACATTTATTTAGGACGCATTCCTAATGAGACTACAATCCTCTCTTTTCCTCTTTCTTCCCTCTGTTCTCTCTATTTTCCACTATTTCGTTTTCTTCTTTTACATATTATCTTGTATTTTATATATCTATACGTGAAAACTGTTAAACGTTTTATATAATACGTATTCCTTTGTCTAGTACATTCTAAATATTAATTTATTTCAGACAAACCATATAGTTCGCCAAAGGAGAAGAATTCTATGAAGTTCAACTTTCGTTCTCATACTTTTCCATTATGTAAAATAGTTTGTTTGTTGTTTACTTGTATGAACTTTGTATATACTGTTGGGAATATATAGAGGATATTCAAGTTTTTTCTATAAATACATGATGTATTTCCATCGAGTGGTATGAAAATAAATATTTCATGAGTGGCGGTAGCCACGAGTGAAATATGGTAATTTTCATGCCACAAGATGAAAATAAATCATGTATTTATAGAAAAAACTTGAATTTTCTGTTTATTATATACATTTTTCTCTTTCTGGACATTAAAATTTGAAAGACTTTACCTTAAATTTTGAGTACTGGCAGAATTTAAAAGAAAGTAGTCCGGCAAGACACCAGTGAAAATACGGAAAATATGTTTCACTGCAGTGAAAAATAAATTTTTAGAGTGAAAATACGGAAAATGAAAATACGCATTTTATTTCATCAATATTTCTCAATATTTCATTTAAAAGTATATAGTAAAAATGTTTAAACCAACTTTTAGAACGTTTCCTTCATTTTCCGGATAACGATGGTTATTGGTAATCTGCGAAGTGGTCCGAATTTTACTCAACACAAAAAATAAACTGTTTTTTTTTAAAAGCACAAATTATAAAATAAATCAGCATTTATAAGTTTATTATTTATAACAAGCATATTATATATCTATTTTTCATGCCTGTAGAATTTAAAATAAAAGTATATAGAAAATAATATCAACAATATCAAGTTGTCTTAAAACAAAGAGTTTAAGACCCCTTCAAATTCTTCTAATAAACCGAGTTATGGTGAAAACTTCTGAATTTTGAGAAGTATGACCTTAAATGTCAGTGTCATTTAGTGGTCATCATGTAGGTAAGCTGTGTTCAAATATAAAACATAGAATTTATAGTTTATGACCGATGAAAATTAAGACACAGTGAAACAAACAAACTGTTAGACAGACAAGGCGAAAATAGTATAAATAAATTTAAATAATATTTGCAACGTCTTGTCGATCGAGAAATATAATATATAGACATGATAAAATGTTATAACATTTTTATAATGACATGATATACCATGGTGTGTTGTTATAAAATGATGAAATGACATGGTGTAATGAGATGATATAATGACATGGTGTAATATGACGTAATGACATGATATAATGACATGGTGTAATGAGATGATGTAATAACAATACGTAATGTCATGTTGCAGTGACATAATATAATGTCATGTTGTAATCACATGGCGTAATGACATGTTGCAGTGAGATAATACAGCGGCATAATGACATGCTATATAATGGCAGTAAAAAACGACAAGATATAGCGATAGGATGTAATGACATGTTGTAATAATATGATGCAATGGAATTATATAATGATATAATGAAATGATACAATGACATGAATAATGACAACAAACTTATAATATTGTGTTTAAATCACATTTATCAATTCTTCTGGAATGTTAATGTTGAAATCTTATTTTGTCTCTCCTTACAAATCACCGGTCTAAAATATACCAACCTCACAGGAAAAAATATATGCACATGTTGAGATCATTCGTTCAATCCAGACAACTCTTGATATGTTATTTTGCCCCTAGCTAAAGCATTGGTCTCCCTTAGTTAAAAAAAGATTGACCCTTTAGCCAAGTCCTTACATATTACTCGCACCAAACAATAGGTAATGCTTCAAAATACTTTTTTTTTAAATCTACCATTTAAATATTATGCATATTTAAAATTGACGGAATGGTTAACAAAAGGCACTAATTTCCCTGATTTAAAATCCTTCCGACAATGGACTTGTAACAGTCCAACAATAGTTTTTGGGATTTCATAACGACAATTATCCACAAACGTCAGAATACACAAATGTGTAGACTAGTTTGCCCCTATACCTGTAGCAATGAGCGATGTTGCCATGCACTAATCTTCTAATGCTCTCTCACATACTATAAATAAGCTGCTATCCAGTAACAACCTCCTTTTTATGATTTTGTTTGCCATTTATGTTTATAAATCTGTAGTTTTTTCATTATTCGCAGAATTTTGAGCATTGTCTACGGTCTGTACAGAATGTTCAAATTCAGAGTCCCGAAAGGAACCATTTATGAACGCCATTTGTCGTTTCTGGCTCTCTCGCGTATGAACTTCAGTCTGAGATTCATCCGGGGGTTTATATAAACAATACGCCAGAGTAAAGAAGAGAATTGAAAGACCCTTTGCTGCCATTGCAATAAGAAAGTAGTTCCGGCTAACAACGTCATTGTCATAGATCCAGCATGAGGATGGTTCCCCGCATTCATCTTGCCATACAAGACAAGCTGTGTCAGTAACCGCACCAAATATAACTGGACCAGGAACTGTTCCTGAAAATAATAATCGAAAAACTCATATCAATGCTTTAGAAACGAGTATTTTATATCGAGGATTTGATTTTATAATGCTGTTATTGAGCGACAACATTCACTTTAACTTAGAAACAGGAATATGAGAGAGTATTTTAGAAAAGATAAATAAATAAATAAAGACAAAACCTTACTTCTACCTACAATTTTAATGGAAATAAAACATTACCATACTGTAAGTCTGGACCATCCAGCAAAAATAAGTTTTAACACAAAATGACGGCGATATAAGTTTGTTTACTAGCAGACACCAATTAATTTTCAGGACTTTAACAACTTTATTTTCAGTAACATACGTACCTAGCAATCGAATGAAGAGCCATTTTAACCCCATACTAAATGTTCTGTGGTCCTCGTGAATACACCTAGAAAATTAAAATAAATACTTTGAGGAAGTAAATATGAATTTCATCTAAAATATATTTTCATACATTTGTACTTATCAGCCATCATATATTTAAAATTTGCTAACTTGTATATATGTCTACATGTATAAATTCAACAGAACTCTCTTATTAAAATGAATAAATAAAATCGCATTTAAAATAATCTGAGCTGAGAAGTTCACGCTCATGTTTTTCTTATGCAAATCAATCTTTATTCGCATTTTTTAAATTTTATTTTGGTGATCGGTCCACCAAGGCAGCTTTCCTGGCCTTACGCCTCAATGTCCAAGGTCTATAAGCCTCGTTCGAGTATCAGATCATCAACCCCCGAATTACACTTCCCCTATCAACTAAGCGGGAGGACTTTAAACGTGCATGTTAAGATATAAGATAAATTACCTGAGGGTGGCAGCATCACTAGGTGTAGACGGTAGGAATGTCAAGAATATGACAACAAAAAATAGCACAAGGAACAAATATAGTAGTCCACAACCGGAATCACACGTGCCGGAAGTTGCTGCCATGGTAACATTAGATAAGCACGTGCAGTTCGAGTATACCTAAGGAATAGATATTGATAATTGATTAAACATCTCTAGATCACTAATGTAAAAAATAATCGTACTAAAGAAAATAACTCGCATACAAATGCATTTCTTTTTTCATTATTTATCTATTTATTTTTGTTTGTTCGACGTAAAGCATTCTTGATTTGGACAAAATATTGGGAGTAGCTAAGACATATTCCAATTAGTCATCCATTAAAAGTATATGAAACATTTTAATTTGTTCAATTAATTATGAAACATACTGTATATGGGTCTAATATAGATTTTTTAAGTTTTTCGTCCTCAAATCTTCTTTACCTTAGATTTCCTATGTTTAAAATTGTAAAGAAATGCTAAAAGGTACGACTTACCTCATCACCGTCACTATTGGTTGTCATATTCTGGCATCCGGCATGGCAGGCCGAGAAGTACTGAACATTGTTGCTAGAGCAAACCGGATCATAGTAACGGGTAGTACATGCACAACCTTCATTGCATGACGAGATGATGTCATCCTTTTTGCCTCTAAAAAAATATCACATTATGTATATGTAAAAGAACCGCAAAGTTCATCAGAGTATATAGAATGCTAGTGTTTTATGTAAACTTAGTTGCAATGTTGAATTACTACAAAAAGGAAATCAAATGGACTTAAGCCGACTTAAAACCTACCTAAAATAACTAATTCACACATAAACAAAGAAAGTATTTATTTAATCAAATGCCTAAGACATTTATAAAAAAAAGAACGACGGTTACATGCTGTTGAGTGACCTTGACCATGTCTGAATCGACAATGACCTATGGGACAAATATATCGTCAATAAAAAGGTGCAAAGAAAAATCAAACAAAATAACAAAGGAAAGTACGTGTGTAAGTTTTGTCCGATGTTTTTAAGGAGTAGAAAAAGTATTATAACATTTATCTATTATTTAATATAGACTTGCAATCTACCCCGATTCATATGCTTCATTAACACCGGCCATTTTGACTTGGTCACATGATATCCAGAGTATATTGACGGCTAAAACGGTGAGTATACATGTGATGATTGCAAACCGGAACATTCCCCGAACTTTCAGCTTCATCCGGTTACAAATAAAACCACCAAAAAACATACCACCCGCAGCTCCTGGTACGGCCGCAGCACCTGAAATATTAACAGCAAGTAAGACCAAATGCAAAAACATATTTTTTATAATCGCGTCAAGGAAACAAAAAAAAAAACGATCCGACGGAAAGAAAATAACACTGTTCGGACGCGTGTGAGTGTAAACCCGTGTGACGTTGTTGACGTGTGGCCATTCCGTTATGCATACTTAAGATAGAAGGCACACGTATAAGGATACTCATTTGAAAGTTGTTTTTATCTCTCGTGTATTTTACTAAACCGGACCACACTTTACGCATCCGCGCTTGTGCGATAAGAGTCTAACAAAGTCCGGAGAGTCAATGCAAGCTTCAGATCTAGATATTTTTGACATTAATTTAGCTTAATTTTAGCATTTTAAAGTAGTTTTCTAAATATCAAAATAAGAACAATCGATTACAGGCTTAAATGTGGTATAATGAAGTTGTTTATATTATGAGCGTCTGGAAAATGATAATTTTCCCGAAAATTGTTCATTCAAGATTATAACCTGTATAAAAAGCCGCAGACCCAGACGAGACGCCAAACCGGTTTTGTATATATTTAGGTACGAATGTAGCAAATCCTGACGTCAATATACCCTCGGAGGCCCCAGCTAGCATGGTGAACACAAATGGTGCGTTTCTGATCAATGCACACGTGACCTTTGGGAACATTTTGATTGGTAGACGTTTATTTGTGCCGTGGCCATGAGAAGAATCAACGTCTCCCTTGTGCATCTGTGAAATACGCGATTCTCTGATTTTTTGCGCACCTACAATCAAAAAACACATTAATTTTCATTGTGTCATTATTTTATATATATAATAAGCAGACGACATCTGAAACAGAACGTACTTGTGTTAAATATGAAAACAAAAGCGTTCTGAACTGCCATTTATCATTTATTAAATACTGGTACTTCAAGTTCGTAAAATCAAAAAAGAAGAGCAAATGAAAACAAAATAAAACAAGAGCGATCAGTGATCACATGTGTTACCTCATGATGGCCAATTTCATGTTAGGACAAGTTTTGTGACAGACGGACAGACAGATGGACAGTGCACAACTAGACTTGGTACTGATAATTCCTGTAAAGTTTGGATAAAATTGCACCAGTAGTTTATGAGGAGTAGTCCGGACAAGCTTTTGTGTATCTGGCAACACACAGAAAAAAAACTCATTTTTATCAAAGGGCCATAACTCGGCCAAAAATCATTCAACCGGAAAACCCGTGCAATATGCACAAGGACTTGACCTATAGATCAATTCTGTAAAGTTTCATTGAAATTGCATTAGTGGTATAAGAGAAGTAGTCCGGACAAACTTTTAAAATAAAAATTATTAAAGGGCCATAACTTTGACAAAAGTCATTGAACCGGAAAATGCTGACAATATGCACAGTTAGATTTGGTACTGATCATTCCTGTAAAGTTTAGATGAAATTGCACCAGTAGTTTATGAGGAGTAGTTCGGACAAGCTTTTGTGTATCTGGCAACACACAGAAAAAAAACTCATTTTTATCAAAGGGCCATAACTCGGCCAAAAATCATTCAACCGGAAAACCCGTGCAATATGCACAAGGACTTGACCTATAGATCAATTCTGTAAAGTTTCATTGAAATTGCATTAGTGGTATAAGAGAAGTAGTCCGGACAAACTTTAAAAATAAAAAATATTAAAGGGCCATAACTCTGACAAAAGTCATTGAGCCGGAAAATGCTGACAATATGCACAGCTAAATTTGGTACTGATCATTCCTGTAAAGTTTAGATGAAATTGCACCAGTAGTTTATGAGGAGTAGTCCGGACAAGCTTTTGTGTATCTGGCAACACACAGAAAAAAATACCTTTTTATCAAAGGGCCATAACTCGGCCAAAAATCATTCAACCGGAAAAACCGTGCAATATGCGCAAGGACTTGACCTACAGATCAATCCTGTAAAGTTTCATTGAAATTGCATTAGTGGTATAAGAGAAGTAGTCCGGACAAACTTTAAAAATAAAAATTATTAAAGGGCCATAACTCTGACAAAAATCATTGAACCGGAAAATGCTGACAATATGCACAACTAGGCTTGATACTGATCATTTCTGTAAAGTTTGGATGAAATTGCACCAGTAGTTTATGAGGAGTAGTCCGGACAAGTTTTGTGACGGACGGACGGACAGACGGACAGACAGACAGACGACGGAGAAGTGATCCCTATATGTTGCCACTACTCCGTAGAGGCGACACAAAAAATGTTTTAATTGTTAGGACAATAAAAATATGTTGCAATTTGAAAACAGTAACAATCCGATACGATGTAACAAAAGACCTAATTGAAAATGATATAGAAAAATATCAAACTTGAAAAAAATGTCCGAATCCAAGTTGTGTTACTTATCGAGTATGTCAGGGCTCAATTCCATGACACAATATCACTATTTTGAAAAAAAAGCTTTCAATGTAAGTTAAAATGGGTACATATAACTTCATGAAATTACAAAAAGGTATATAATATCTTACTCGGCATTTCAGCACCAAACAGTGAGAAGGGAATGGTTAGTGACCAGAATATACTCATTGTAATGAAAAACCCCAGCCACCAAGCGCCTACCCAACGCGGATCATCCGTCTTCAAGTTGATCCTGAAAGGAAAAGCACGTGTAATTTGAGAAAGGAAAAAAAACCGTTATGCACGTGTGTATTTAAGTAGACTAACTGGAATTCTGACATAAGGAAAACTTCGAAAAATAATTCTACATCGACTAATATATCCAAGATAACGTTGCACCATACGTTTCAGTTTTTTTTCCAAGATAGCCATTGAAATAATATAATGAGAACGAGAGATTCGCCATGTATTTTGGGGATATTTCCAAAATGGTGATTTGTAGGAAGCACATTTCCAAGACATCAATTTGTTTTATGTTTAAGGGTTATTTCCAAAAGATCGAGAGTTTGCTATATCCTGTGAGGATGTTTCCAAAGTGATGATATGTAGGAGCACATTTTTAAGGGGGATATGTATAAATATTTCTAAGCCAGCGGGAGTTTCGCCATGTCTTATTAAGAAATTTCTAAGATAATGATTTGCAATCTATTCAAATTATTATACTTCCAAGATGTAGTGTAATTGTAGTCATTCGGCATTTACCATGATGAATATTATAAGACAGAGATTCACGTGATTGAATTCAATAACAACAACAAATATATAATAAAATTATGCATAGTTGATTGGCCCCAGTATAGAATTTTTCACAAATTTTCGCCTATGCTGAAAACTCTTGTGTAGATGGTATGTTACCTAAGCATACAGTCAAAATTAAACCAAATTATAACGTCGGTACATCATAAAAGCATACCAAGTGTAAAGCTTAGATAAAATTTCAAACTTGGACGTAATAACAATTTGAAGTGTTTCATTCAAGGTCTTCTTTCACAGGTATCAGTTACCTTTTTATATATCGCAAGACTTTTTTCTTACGCTCTGCATTGTGCAATGCGGAGATATTGCATAAATATAATATTATTAATCTAAACTTGTATGCAGGTAAAAAAAACTCATTGATATCGCGTAACATATCTAAATGGGAGAGGTGTGGGTTTGTGGTCTGCCTTTAATGCAGGGGTTCGAGGGTTCGATGACCAAGTACCAGGAACACTGTTTCCTTATATGATATAAAACACGACGCATACTCTAAAGTTGCGAGAACTTGTTTAAAAATCAAGCCTAGATGAATATATTTAAACTTTAACTTTACATGTAACATGATGACATTTTCAGATACTTCATCACCTACATCATATGATAGTAATTTAACATGCAAATACCTACATTTAGCTATTAATATCTGTAAATGTGTAAAAAAGTAAATAATAAGTTATTTATACAGCACATACATATTTCGTGGGGGAAAATGACCGCTTATGATTCATTACAAAGATAACAAAAGATGTTAGACTCGACTTTTTCGATACTGGATTAACTGAAGTGTGTAATATGTAAAACTAGAAAAAAGCTGATATTTAAGCTTTACTTGTGAAAATAATAAAGTAGTGTAAATTTGTATACACGATAATATCATTCAAGTATGTCCTATGTTGAAAGAGGAACAAATCTTGCAATATAAAAGCCAGAGTTATAGAACTTGTTAAAATGTTGTGTGTTAAATTAAGAAATATCTATCTAATATATAAGATGTTAAATGGACCACTTTCGTGATGAAAAAGATTTTGTAAAATGATAATTCTACTTGAAAAGCTTGGTCCTAAGGGGAATAAATATCAAGATATAGGTCCTAGCGTAATAAAGCTTGTCATCAATAAAATGTTTAAGGTCAAAGAACAACTAAAGGTTTGAAATTATTTGCTTTGACAATGACATTATTATGTACATGTATATAGTACAGTATAAAAACAGCAATTTTCCATTATTTTTAGTCAAAAATACAGATAATTCTTTAGCATTAATCCTAATGGACGTCAAAATGCAGTCTGACCAAGCTTTAAACTATAAACTGAAACTGTTGAATGGACATTTTAAGACACTGAAGTTGGGCAGGTTCAAAATAGGATCACCAGTATGAAGTATGAACATGGTTATATAAACTAGCTAGTAATTTGTGATGTCATAATAACAGGTAACAATACAGGTAGTTTGAAGATACAGGTAAATTCGCTTTAAAGATCTTCATCAATATATAAACTAAAATATGGACGCTGGTGTTAATGTGCTGATGTGAGGGCGGGGGGGACATCTTTTCAAGCATACTTGTAAAGTCGACCTATAAATTCATCATATAACCCAGACAGTTAATCTTTAGCCTGCTGTTAATATGGTTAAGCCTATTTCTATATATCTTCCTTTTTTTCTTCGAAAAGGCGGGGAGACAACATTTTAGCAGACGACAATTTTTAAAGCATACAAAGGGTTATAGTTCTCTCTTGTATACGATATTATGATGTCCACTTTATGTAAAAGTCCAGTACTGCTGTCTTGTTGGACTACATTCTTCTAAATTCAGCCAATACACAAATTTTAATGGAAGCCTTTTGAACCATAAGGGAAAAAAAGATCAAAGGCATATTACAAACAGAAAAGTAAAGTTATTTTCCCTGCAAATATTGGACTTGTTTTATCTCATGGGTTTTCACTTACGGCTGTGGCCACGCGTAAGATATTTATTTTCATACCACGTGATGAAAATAAATCTCGTATTTATAAAAAAAAGAAAAAACACATGAACATGCTGTGTTTATCTAATACAATTAAAATGTAATGATGCTAGTTTGTTATCACAAATTTATGTCAAGAATTGAAATTTTAAGACTGAATTCGATACATCCCGAACGCTTGAATCTTAGATAAATTACAATTTTGTTTAAATACTTAAACTTCAACCATTACAAAAAGTAGCAAATACTATAAATATGGAATCATACAATCTTAAAATTACAATATCATTATCAAAGTTACTTTCGAGATATATAAAATATGAGGGAAGATTTAATTGAAGACCTCTTACGTGCTTGCGTCCAACTTGTCAAAGTCGACATAGATGTTCAACAGTTGGCCGCCCACAATATAGCCTAATCCTGGTCCCAATGCAGCAAACCCGTAAAATATACCTGAAAATTAAAAAATATAGTTAAGAAGAATGAAAATTGAGCCGCGTCATGACAAAACCAACATAGTGGGTTTGCGACCAGCATGGATCCAGACCAGCCTGCGCATCCGCGCAGTCTGATCAGGATCCATGCTGTTCGCTATCAGTTTCTCTACTTGTAAAAGGGTTTGTAAGCTAACTGCATGGATCCTGATCAGACTGCGCGGATGCGCAGGCTGGTCTGGATCCATGCTGGTCGCAAACCCAGTATGTTGGTTTTGTCATGACGCAGCTCAAATTATTCACTGTAATAATCCCCCACTCTATACATTATTGCTTCCATACGAACAACACCCAAACCAAAGACTGATATCATCAAACATCAGCATTGATATGTTCCCAATGTAGACTTTATCAAATTGTAGAGGAGTGTTTAAATATTTGGAAACTAAGTTTTTCTCATTTTATATCTATTCCGATTCATCATACATTGAACATTCTTATATCAGAAATATTCATTACCTTAACCATATAACAAACATGTAATATCATCCTTAGTTTGACTATTTGTAAGTTTTGAAAAACAAGAGCGATCAGTAATCACATGTGTCGCCTCATGATGGCCAATTTCATGTTGGGACAAATTTTGTGACAGACGGACAGACAGACAGACGGACAGTCCACAACTAGACTTGGTACTGATCATTCCTGTAAAGTTTGGATAAAATTGCACCAGTAGTTTATGAGGAATAGTCCGGACAGGCTTTTGCGAATCTGGCAACACACAGAAAAAAATACCTTTTTATCAAAGGGCCATAACTCGGCCAAAAATCATTCAACCGAAAAACCCGTGCAATATGCGCAAGGACTTGAGCTACTAATCAATCCTGTAAAGTTTTATTGAAATTGCATTAGTGGTATAAGAGAAGTAGTTAGGACAAACTTTTAAAATAATAATTATTAAAGGGCCATAACTCTCACAAAAATCATTGAACCGGAAAATGCTGACAATATGCACAACTAGACTAGGAACTGATCATTCCTGTAAAGTTTGGATGAAATTGCACCAGTAGTTTATGAGGAGTAGTCCGGACAAGCTTTTGTGTATCTGGCAACACACAGAAAAAAAATACCTTTTTATCAAAGGGCCATAACTCGGCCAAAAATCATTCAACCGAAAAAAAACCCGTGCAATATGCGCAAGGACTTGAGCTACAGATCAATCCTGTAAAGTTTCATTGAAATTGCATTAGTAATATAAGAGAAGTAGTCCGGACAAACTTTAAAATTAAAAATTATTAAAGGGCCATAACTCTGACAAAAATCATTGAACCGGAAAAAGCTGTCAATATGCACAACTAGACTTGGTACTGATCATTCCTGTTAAGTTTGGATGAAATTGCACCAGTAGTTTATGAGGAGTAGTCCGGACAAGTTTTGTGACGGACGGACGGACAGACAGACAGACAGACGGACAGACAGACAGACAGACGACAGAGAAGTGATCCCTATATGTCGCCACTACTCCGTAGAGGCGACACAAAAAATGATATCTATAGTCACAATGTCTCAGGTTCGAGTGCGCGTCAGGCTACAGATGTTTTTTGATCATTGACATGATATGTATCTATCTTTAAATAACGTTTAAAACAGACATTAATACATAGAATAGAAAGCTTACACCTATTGCATTGCATCTACTGTTAAGGATGTTGAACACGCTTTGTAAGAGTTTTGAAGGAAGGAAGCAAGCAAGCAAGCAATGAAGGAAGCATGCAAGCAAGGAAGGACGCAAGCAATGAAGGAAGCAAGCAAGCAAGGAAGGAAGGAAACAAGCAAGCAAGAAAAGGAAGGAAGGAAAGAAAGAAAGAAAGAAAGAAAGAAAGAAAGAAAGAAAGAAAGAAAGAAAGAAAGAAAGAAAGAAAGAAGAAAGGAAGGAAGGAAGGAATGAAGGAAGGAACGAAGGAAGGAAGGAAGGAACGAAGGAAGGAAGGAACGAAGGAAGGGGAGAGGGAACGAACGTAGGGAGATACGAAGATGGGAAATAAAATAAGAAAGAAAACAAAGAAGGAAGAAAGAAAAAAAGAAAGAAAGAAAGAAAGAAAGCAAGCAAGGAAGCAAGCAAGGAAGCAATGAAGCAAGCAAGGAAGCAAGCAAGCAAGAAACAAAGGAACGATCAAAGGAAGAAACAAAGGAAGGAAGGAAGAAAGAAAGGGGAATGAGGGAACGAACGTAGGGAGAAACGAAGATGAGAAATGAAAGAAGGAAGAAAACAAAGAAAAGAAGGAAGCAAGCAAAGGACAAAAAAGGTAGAAAAGACAAAAATAAAAGAAGGAAGGAAAAGAGTAAGGACAAATATGTTCTCACAATCTCTGCCAAAACATTTCCCGTAAACATAAAAACACTAACCAAGGTATAGTGGAGATCGAACCTCACTCACGCTGTCATCAATGAGGCCCACACCCACGGTGTACATGATGCAGCCGCCAATACCGTGGAGTATCATACCAAACATGAGCACGCCAAGATAGTCACGAAGATCTGTCTTTACACATAGTGCATCCTCGGTCATGTTCGATCCTGTAAACAAAAACGTTATATAATTAAAAAATTGTGTTCACTGAACATGAATGTTATATAAAGGCATTTATACACTATTAAAGCACAAATATTAAAATTTAAAACATGCATATTTTTTACCTTTTCATTTCTTGGAAAAAAAATAATTTGGTAATATTTGATACCTTCAGGTTGTACTGTCCCTTCTTACAATAGTTCTATGATCTTGTACGACACTTTGGAAAATTAAAAACTGGAAAAAAGTTGCTACTGTTCTTGATTCATTTATAAAGCAAGCACCTGGTAAACAAGAAATCTATTAATGATTGGCACTCTCCAGCCAACCCCCAGTTTCCCATTCCAAACAGTAAAAGACATATAACAGAAACAATCTTCTATCTTAAAACGAAACAACAAGAACACAAACTGTTTATCGAAAGTTGATTTTCTTTGACTAAATCAGTGTGCCGAAAAATTAGTAAAATTAAAAACCACAAATTAAAATATGTTTACCTAAATTACATGTCTTTGTCGCACTTTCTTGGCCCCAGTCATACAGTCCTGTGGTAAAATGAGGGAGCGCCATCGTCAAAGATCCGAGCCCCATCACAAAGGTTGCCCCGGCCACCCATCGAGCTTTATACCGGCCAGACGCCATAAAACTTATAAACACACCAAATATAGCTGAAAAAAATGAAAGAAAAAGCACTTAAAGACGTTCTCCATAAAAAGCCCTAAGTTCTATGACAAACTTAAAGCAGCGCTAATTTGCATACCCTGGCATGTGAACAAAAATGTAAAATTTGAATGCAATTCCTTTTTGGGTCAAACGGGTAATAATTATACTTTCGTGACAGAAAGCAGTTATTTATTCCGTTTTTTTTTTCAAGAATAATTCCATAGAATAATGTATATTTATTTAGTTTTTATGTATATTTCATTTGAATTTTACCAGTGAGATAAAACCTATATTTTTCTATATTGTTCGCTGTTTATCACTCAATGCAGACGGCAGAAAATGTTGTGTTTATGTTCATGACAATAATATATATATTATATTTTCACGAAGTGATACTTGCTAAGAAAATAGTTTGGAAAGGTAAGGATACATGTATGTTATCTATGAAACATGAATGGAAAAACAGGCTTTTACCTGCCCCGAAGTCATACGAACTGGAAATGAGGCCCGACCTTGAACTCGGCAAATGAAATCTCCTCTCAATAGATTGTGTATTGACATTGTTTAAACCGTTGATGACAAAACCTTTCAAAATGAAAATATTTCTTAGAGTTATATTCACATATTGATTAATATAAAAAATAAAATTTACTGAATACATATTAACATTCTGATTTAATGTGTACTTGTCTTTTGTTTTTACATCGCCAATAAAGACTGGCCTTTGTCAGAAGTAAAGGTCAATGTCAGCGAGAACTTCCGCGCAGACTGAAGAGACTAATATATACAGCAGCATTTTGGTAATAAATCTCTTCACATTATCAACTGACCCTTTCAACTTCACTGGAAACTTTTCCAAGTGAACTTTTCGTATCAACACTGGACATCAATGGAATCCTTGAAATTCATTCATCTGATTGTTTTCCGGAATAAGTTGAAAAAATACTATATATAATGGATAATCCGATTTAAATAAGACTAACTAATGTTGCAACAATCGCAAAAGAAAGAAATAATCTTAAAGCCGCTCGCCTTTAAGTGAGCCAAATTTTTAAGAAAATAAATATTGAGTAAAAAGGTACTAAAATTTCAAGAAAGGTAACAAATTTCAAGATCTAAGTTGTGCGGTTTAAGACTGATTTTTCAGTATTTTATCACCATATTTCTACTGAGTTACTAACGAAGTAGGGGCTGTTTTTGCATATTATGACCACTTTTTGGTAATTTTCGTGGATTGTAAGTGCCGATTGCAATATATAAATTACTTTATTTGTTCATCTCACAATGTTTTACTTTTAAATACATTTCCAATTTTTTTATGAAAATTAACAGGACTCTGCAGGCGTGCTGCTTTAAGATGTTTTTTTTTTTTTTTTTTTTTGTTTGAAAATTTTCATGGAGCTACATGTATTAACAAGTCAAAATATATATCACTGAAGTACTCACCTTGACTAAGAGAGAACATGCACAGAAGGGCTAGCAGCAGCTTAGAATTGTTACATTTCTGAAGCACTTCCGGTTTACAACTTCCGTATCCACATCTGACGTCATATCCGTCATTTTCGGCACATGGCATATTCTCTTTGGTCGATTTCTCGTTCACTTGATATACTGTTCCATTTTTAGCGTCCATTTTAGCATTTGTGCAAAAAAAATACTTTATGCAAAACTTTTATCAAGTAAGGTATGCTGTTCTTCAAGAAAATGTGACGTCACTGAACACAGTTATGAAATAAGTTCTTATCTTGATTAATTCCCTGGTTGCGCACAAGTCTCCTTCAAAACTGGGCAGTTCTGTCTTTTAAATAGTCGGTTAACAGCTGAGCCTGAAATATAAAACAGCAATGATGATATATATAGCCTTTTATAGTTATTTTTTTCTCTTGCGGTGTAATTTTATATGGTAAGATAATATATCTTGTTTACATGGATGTTCTTTTTCTCTCCTGTTTGCCAAGCAAACACCCGTAAACACTGACAGGTACATCAAAGGGTTTGACTGGTTCAAATACGGGTTTAAATGTAAATAATTATAGGGTACGTAAAGAGTTTACGTTTAATAGAGATGTACGTTAAACCAATCGGAACCCTTCGGCAATATTTCAAATTATGATGGAAGGTACATGACGGAATTTACCGAAAAGTATCGATATGATGTGTACTATTTACAGTAACCTTTCTATATATTATATATTTCTCTTTGCATAGCTTATAATTTACTTGAAAATTAAAAAAAAACATACCCAACACAATCCGAACTGAACTGAAATGACTCTTCCATACCTTATTTGCTTTACACACACAAACGTTTATAAATATTTACATGTTTTATAATATCCGAATTATTCACATAATATAAATATTCGATATTATATTTCCGGGTTGTTAATGCATACATAATAAACACATGTATACCTTTGGTAATAAAACCTGAAAGACACTTTTGTTATTTGTCAATAAAATGATATATAAAGCTGTTTAATTCGCAAAATAGGCGCGGCTTCGGGTGAAGAAGCGAGAGAGTATGTGTTTTTTAAGAAAAAGTGTGTTTATACTCGTAATATATGGCTATTTTAAAAGTATGACACGATTCAATGTAAAATGTATAGCTCTTTATGTAGGTACACTGTACATTCATTTAAACCAGTAGGTATCAAGGTCAAACTACACTTACACTGTAAAAATATATAGTTATCTTCTCATACAATAAAAATATTATTTATGAACGAAATGCATTACACATCACGGTCGGGGTTGGCCTGTAAGCATTTTTGTTTACTTTAGGTCAGCTGTTATAATTTGTAGAAATGCAAGTGTTTACCGGAACAGATCATCCCTGTTAAATGATAAAAATAACAGTAATCATGTTAAAATAATATGAAATATCACGATTTAGATAGTAAATATTTATTATTAATCATTTTTAAACAAAAAATAAATGACTGTACGTATTACACAGTCACTGTTACAAATACACTGTATGAGTATATCTGAAATCAGGCACAATTTTAATGTCTGTTTGAAATCAGCCACTATGATTGGCAATTTCGTGGGTGTTTTATTATTATTATTATTATTATTATTATTATTATTATTATTATTATTATTATTATTGTTAGAACGTTAAAACTGCAACGTAGGAAAACGCCTTTCCATATACAAAACGCGATCTTGACAGATGTAAAGGAGGTCGCAAAAAAAGAACATAAATTAAACAAGGAACATTTCCTTAAAGGTTTTTATACCACCGTGTAGCTTTTTCCTTATAGATTTAGAACAGCCGAGCACTTTTTTCTCAAAGTGTATTAAAAAAGTTTTGTGCACATTTCCTTAAAGTTTTAAAAATTCATTTCATTTCACGATTCTCTAATATAATCGTGTGCTGGGTAAGTGCACACATGCACGAAATGAACTATTACTTTATAAATGAGAAAAAATGTGTTTTAAGTGGGAAGTCTCTACAATTAATTTAATTTAGACTTGAATATTTATCACAGATATATTTAGCTCCATGTATCTATTAATCTACACAAATTCAAAATATATTGTATGTTCTATTCTACTATACTCTATTTTCTATTCAATTCTATCCAATTCCATTTCATTTATGTCTATACTATTCTATTCTGTTCTGTTACTTTTTCAAAGCAAAAACTGGGAATATACCTTTAGCGGAAAGACAGTGTATGGTATGGGGACATACCTTTAGGGAGACATCTGTTGATAAAGGCGATAACGGATCAATAATTTCCCTTTAAGTTTCGTTTAGCGACCAGTTGATATTTTCTCACGGGTTTGTCAATTTGTTCACAAGTTCTATGGTAACATACATGTAGTTCATTCGGAACACTTTGCATTTTTTAATTATCCAGTGTTTGACGGAAATGACCGAAAGTTGCGAATAAGTAAATTCTCATTACAGTACAACCTCTGCAGATTAACGCCATTGAGAGACAGACTTTGGTTGTTGCCAAGAGGTTTTACTGTAGATAAATTTAATTTGAGGCGGCAACACTGCAGATATTGCACTGTAACTACTAAGAAAGCATTAAAAAACGTTAAAGCATAGACACAAATATGAAAATCTTATTTGCATACAGTTTGATTAGCGTTCTTTAAATTGGAACTGAAGATAATAGATCTGGCATTGTGCAACCAGCTTCAGTTGTAAAATCTCTTAATCTTTCATATTTATGATGACCTGATGAACACATTTCAAGTCTCTAGCTAATGCATTCACTGACAAATTCTTCACAATCTTTTGCTATTGTTTACCTTAAATAATATACATGTACATGTATATCAGTAACTAATTCTCATAATACGTGACTTTACTCTACCAGAAATATCATATTAACATGTTCTCAATATTTTGTTATCATGTCACACGTTCTAATATATCTGTCACATTTTGTTCAGGTGTGTATCTGGAAACTGTTTGTTTTAAAATGTATGGAGGAACGTTAACAAATTTCAGTTCGTGACAACACTTGCAAGCAAATACAAGCTACTAAATTTAATAAGTATTGTGTATTTCAAAAATAGTATGGAAGAAAAGTCGCGCCATTTATTGAGAATCAGGGTCTTTCAAATAGAAATTGAAAGACCCTGCATAAATAAAGAGGCGAGTAAACTAATATTAATTTGAAACGTCAACAAATCGTCGTGTTACTGTAAGAAACGGCTTCACAAAACAACTTTATTTGTCTGTCTGTAATAATATTCGTCTCAATGTAAAGATATCAAAGTATTCGAAATCTTTAACACAGATTGATGACACTTGTACAGCATTTTGTGCGGAAGTAGTTCAAAAGATGTCTGAAAAGATTAAAACCTATTAAGAACAGCACAACATACGGGGCAATTGGTTTACGGTGCTTCAGAATAAAGTGATAAATTGATTTATTAAATCACTAAAACCTTTTTTTAAACTTATCATGAAATATTTTAATACTTGATCAGCCTCTTGTGCGAATATTGCTACATTGTCGTCATAGTTTAAATCATATCTCTTAAGTGGAGAGAGAAAAATAACACAGATCTGAAATTTCCTTAAAGTTCAGAAATGGGTCACTTCCGGACGAAGAAAAAAGACTATCACTTTGAATTGTCCTTACAGACACACAGCTAATGCTTAAGGACGTACAGTTTAAAAGGAAAAATTAACGAATACTTAAAATGGCACTTTACTTGGTTTGTGTATCTAATAAAAACGCATTTTAATGCGTTTATTTAAGGTCGCCGCTGGAAAGCCCATATGGGCGACCGTACACTCAAGTCGGGCCATCCTAGAGCGTCCTCGAAAAATAAAAACGCATACATTATGCATGGTTATATAACCTTGACGGACGACACTTTTTTTTTGGTAAAACAGGCAAATCATTTTAAATCAGCAATATGCATGCACTATAAAAAATGTGAAAAACTCTTTAAATATAAAGGTAACCTATCTCGTGAAAGGGTACCATTCATTCTTTTTATTTGACGCGAAAATCGTCACTTTTATCATTCAAAATATCTCTTACAGATTTACAGAAATAATTTTATTGTGACTGTGTATGTAAAAATTAAATACCTTATACAATAGATATATCCTTCGGTATGAAAACATTGTATATATATTAACAAGTTAATCTACTAGAAAAATATATAATCGTAATTGTTGGATTTAAGAAAGTACTTGTAACTCGTACGTCTGTACGTATACGTGCATATATAAAACTTACTTACCTGAATAAAGCAAATTAAACAAAGTTTATCTAAATATGTAAATTTCTCATTCACAATATTACAAACTACATATTCATTCTAACGTAAACAATTTTTCTTGTCTTGACATTTCGTTACGAAATGGCCCTACGGCATATGAATCAAAACCAAATTTTTCATGCGTAAACATTTTTCTCACGAAGTTCAGAAATGCAACACTGAACAGTTTAATAATTTAATGATTTTAGGCCACAGCAATTAAAATAAACATGTAAGTATTTCAAATTTATCTTACATGTATTTTTCAAAGTTTTCATTTAGTATAAATAACAACATTGTATGACAGGAGATTTAGTTTAGTTGTTTAAGAAAATAAATGGATGGAGCAATTTCACTCGAAAATGCGTATTCTGTATGTAACTGGACATAAAACGCTGCACTTAATTGGCTGGCCTTAAATTGACAAAGCGGTGATGTATATTGGTAAAATTGTATGTTCTATAATGTAAAAATAATTTTATTATGTTTTTTATGGCAATGCAGAACAAATAACGCTTTTATCAATTTGATATTAAACGCGACTTTTAACAAGTTTCTTGTCTGCACTGAATTAAAATAGAGAAATATACAGTTTGATCAACTTAAAATGTGAAAATCGGTTAAACAAAAGAAATATTGAAGCATGTGTTAGAGGTTAAAGTGTGTATGAAATTGGGTCGTTCACCTTCAAGATTTTATGTGTTTTATTTACATACACGAGATCTAGAACAGAACAGAATAGAACTCTTGTTTTACGTTCTATATTACAGATGCTCTAGTCAGGGTGTTTCAAGATCATGCTCTGGTATCTGTGTATATGCAAACTGGACTAATCAATAAACGAAAATAAAAATAAATTAAACAAACCTGCTATAAATCCACAACTTTCACTCAGCTTGTTGGATATTCTCACGATCAAGAAATTATCACAAGTCATTTATCAATGAAACATCAAATATTTGAATGTAACATGTATATTATATCATAAATAGTTCAAATATCACAGCCTTTCATAGGAAAGCAGAATGATATACATGTTATATCCATCTGCTGTAGGTTATATTTCTATAAACACTCTTCAGATATCATATTTTGTATTATATATTAACAGTTTTCGTGTTCAATCAAGCATGGACAAACGTCACGCATGTATTCGTAAGGTTAACCTCATTTCTTTTTTTATCCAATTATAAATTGTAAAAACAAAATAACACACGACTTACGTTAAATGGAATAGTAATCGTCTTAAATTAATCTCAATTTTACGTTAAACGGCTGTTCACCTTTACAGTTCGCGCTTCAGTATAATTTATTTCAACAGTGAATGAAAATACTGTGTAAAGATAGAGCAAACTCAGCTGACTGACGTATTATCGACAATAATCACACTTAAAGACCAACCAAGACCTTTTCACTAGTATCAAGCTAAAAAGCGCTGAAAAGGATACAGCGAACTGTTCTTTGGTACATTTGTATTCTTTTAAAGACCAACCAGGAACCCTTTTGAAAAATGTACCTTTTCTTGGAAAAAGTATTGCAACAGCATTAAACATTAGTGTTTCTTATGTTCCTGACATTGTAGATTGTAGACCACCATAACAAAATATATCTCAAGCGTTTATCTATACACGTGCACGAAGCATAAAAAACTGAAAGAAAAGTCAAATCAAAGAATGAAAAATTATACAGCTGACAAGCTATGGAATCTAGTTCCAGAAAACTTCAGGAAACCAAAGTCTGTTGCATGTTTGCTCTATATTAATCCTTCACGTGTAATTAAATAAATGCCGGTTTTTATGCAAGTTTCTAATATGCAAGCCTCTGGGCGTCACTGCAATGATGACCCCAGTGATTTCATTATCAAAACTTAAAGCAGCACGCCTCCAGATTAATTATTTTCATGAAAATTTTGAAAATGAAATTTAATGTATATTATAGTAACCAAAAGGAATCATTTTACACATTTTTAATGGCACTTACAACCCACGTTTATTACAAAAAGAGGTCAAAATATGCAAAAAAAAAAATACCCTTACTGCGTTAGTAACGCAGTAGACATTTAGTTACATTTAATGAAAAATACACCCTTAATCGCTCATAACATGTAAATTATTACTTGAGTCTTTCTACTTTGCCAAAAATCTTAGTATATTTTTCACAAGTTTGATTTATTGAAATATTTTCGCTCATCTGGATTCAAGAAGCTTTAACTGTATGCGCGACGGAACCGGTTTCGAATTACCAAGTTAAACGTATACTTTATGTCTAAGTTGGGCGCTGTGGAGGGGGTGGGAGGGTTACAAGGGGCGTGAATGGCTGGAAAGACTTGATTTCTGCAATTGCAATTTAAACGGCTATCTTAAAATTTTTAACTGTGACTTTTTGTCCGTACCGGGAAAACACATAACCTACTCAGATTTTTGCCAGCATGCCTCCCGATTTTTTAAAGAGTAAAAATGTAGCCAAGTGAACACATAAGGTGACTTTTACCTAGCGTAAGCTATTTTCCACAGAAATAACATACAACATGTCAACATTTTCTCGCACTCCGTAAATATCGACGTATAGCATTTTTTATTTTACACAACACATAGTTCAAGAAAATCAAACTCACGAGGGAGGAACTGTTACGCGAAGGATGGAGTTCTTATGATAACTTGTTCAGGAGTTCTTGTGATAAATGTCACGGAGTTCGTCGAAAAACACATGTATATACTACAAAAACGCTCGTCAAAAATGATTATTTTAATCTTTCAAAAATGTGTTTCAAGTGCTAAATTAAACTTTAATGATTAAGCTTGTCTAACATCTTGTATTATGTGTCAAAAACTAATTCATAGGCCATTTTTCATCGCCTCTCGCTTAAAATCTGATAGTTTTGAGTAAAATTTCCATATTATTTGCCATTTCACAAGTTTATTTCTGGTCTTCATCCTTGCCATACATAATTACGTAATTAAAATGCAAAATTGCAAACATAAAGCACCGGCTAACAGATATATACCCGATTTTTAAAATGTTCCGGAGTTCTTGTGATAACTCTGACGATGTCACAAAAATCTTATGATATCTTATTGCCAGTGTTTTTTTGCGCTAAATCACGGCACGTTTTAGCGTTTTTTATTTTTCAATGAGGTTGTAAATTATTATGAAATGTATAGTACGCTCATGCTTTGCACAAACATGGGGATAAATAATGTTGGTTTTGAGTGTATTTTAGTTCAAGAGACATTATTTCTTACCCCCGTTTCTTTTTATACACAGATTTTGTAGTCAGGAAAAATGATTTATGTTGAGGATTGACTTCCGTGATAAAATGCGTTTTGACATACTCAAAAATGTTATTTTCATGTATATTTTTCTGTCGATGTTTGATGAGTATTGCCCTACGTAATCTTAGTGGAGGAAACTCTGCTACTTTTTGTTGTAATTGATAGTCAAACTTGTGGGACGTGCAAATTTGTCGAGAGCCAAGTTGAGTTTTTATCATGTATCGTACTTTTTTTGAGACAGGTGTGGAAATTATCCTGGTTATATACTTGTTTATTATGGTATAAAATGATACAAATTACTTAGACCTTAGGTAAGGGAAGCATACCTTTATATTGTCTGCTTACTAAAACATGTGAAACTGAGAACAACGTGTACATTTTGAGCCACTTTTGTTTTGCGGTTAAAGCCATGATACTGCTAAATATCAGTGGCCGCTGATTCAAATTTTTCTGTAGATGACAGCCTATCACCTGTTTTTCCTTTGCAGACACTTAAGACCAACGTTCTATCCACATTTTTGTGCAAAGGATGTTCGTACTGCATTTTATAACGATTATTCAATCTCATTGAATAGTAAAAAACACTAAAACGTGCCGTGATTTAGCGAAAGAAACACACTAGCAATAACAAAAATTATCATAAGAAATCTGTGACATCTTCAGAGTTATCACAAGAACTGCAGAACATTTGAAAAATCGGGTATAAATCTGTTAGTTGCAATTTTGCATTTTAATTACGTAATTATGTATGGCAAGAATGAAGACGGTCCATACTTGTGAATTGGAAAGTTTACTCATTTGACACATTATACAATATGTAAGACAATTGAGCTTAATCATTAAAGTTTAATTTAGCACCTAAAACTCATTTTTGTAAGATGAAAATAACCATTTTGACGAGTGTTTTTGTAGTATATACAGATGTTTTCCGACGAACTCCGTGACAGTTATCAAAAGGTTATCACAAGAACTCCTGAACAAGTTATCACAAGAACTCCATCCTTCGTGTAACAGTTCCTCCCCCCGTGAAACTGGAGGAAAATGAACTGACGCTTTAAGGAAAGTAAAAAGATATACTAATGATTTACATGATATATGCGATTAATGTCTGATTTTGCAGTATTTATTGACATATTTCTTCAATGGCTTCGAAATTTCATTTAAATTCATTATGGTTATTGCTAGTGATATTTCTGGGATAATTATACACAGCAATTCAACATACATAGACATGTACCTGTATTTGCATTTTAGTGTAGAAAACAAGTTTATTTCATACTCTCTTTTTTGCATATTCTGGTCACCTTATGTAACAGTGAAAATAGTATTTTAAACGACATTATAGTGACCTTGTCATGAACGAAAGAAACATTTTTTTGTGGCCTCAAGCTTCAGTTGACATTCACCAGTAACTGTACAGGGATTTAACCTTAATATATTTGAGCCGCGTCACGACAAAACCAACATAATAGGTTTGCGACCAGCATGGATCCAGACCAGCCTGCGCATCCGTGCAGTCTGACCAGGATCCATGCTGTTCGCTATCAGTTTCTCTACTTGTTATGGAGTTGGTAAGCGAACAGCATGGATCCTGATCAGACTGCACGGATGCGCAGGCTGGTCTGGATCCATGCTGGTCGCAAACCCATTATGTTGGTTTTGTCGTGACGCGGCTCATTTATGACTTATTTTATGCCAGTATTAAAACATGTTGTGAAAAGGGATATTTTTTTACTATTTACTACGACTACTCCACGTTCAATCAGCGTTTCATTCAACCTCCTCTACAGCCATAAATAAAGCCCGAAAAGTGTCCGGTATTACAGAAATACGTTAAGTACCGTAAAATATCACCTGATCTTAAAAGGTGTGTTGCTAAATAGTCGTTTTATAGTGTTTGTCTGGAGCATTAAAACAGCTATAAAACAATGATAAAATGTATATGTGAAAATATAGAAATATAATATACTCCCTTGTTGATTTATCAAAATTATATCCGTTAAAAACCGGTATCAATATATCAGTCATAACAGATTTTTTAACAATTTCCCATTAACTGCACTTGTTCTGCTTAACGTATTCCGTACAATGATTGTAATAAACATCTTGATATTTATGAGTGCCTGTTAAAAGAAATTTGTATATAAAAGGGTACACGAGACAACAATTAAGAGTTTATTAAACTAAAATTGCCATAAAATTGGCTTTAAAAACCAAAACCAATATGTTGTATAGTTTGACCTTAGCTCTGAAGGTCAAATCTTATATTGCACGGTTTCTGTGACAGTATCTTGAAGATCATGGTGACCTTGACCTAAATGTAACCTGGGAAAACATAATTAAAAGATGTAACTATGGCCTTGACCTTGGAAATACTGATTCGAAAACTGTACCATTCCTGTCCATAACATTGAGGTAAATATTCTACATTGTTTGAACATTTAAGGTGCAACTGTTTCCTAAGCCATTAACATAGTATTCTACATGAAGGTCAATGACCTACTGTGTCCGATATTTTATAAAAACTATCGGCTTGTAGCAATTATCAAAATAAGTCAATTTATATGACCAGATAATATGCTTCAGTTACTGGTTATTTCAAGGAAACAAAGTTCATGTTTTCTTCACAATATAACCTTTTAATAAATGACATTCTTAAAAAGTTAATTTAAGCCTTGCAGTTAATCTATATATATGGTGAATGTCAATGTATGAAGACAATTTCTTTCTCAGCTAAATGAAGTATAATTTTGTATCATAAAGTTATTTCAATTGTTATACATCTGTGTATGAACGCTTGTTTGCAATATAACCCTCGCCTAATAGCTGATATATATATCAGCTTACAATAGTGACACTGAGGCATATAATCCGCCAGACAACTTTATAACTAAAAATATATACTCAGGTGTACAGTTTAAAACAGGACGTTTAACGGTTTTTAATCATAACCAATAGCACGGACTTCAATTACAGTCTGTGCTTATAGCTATCTGCTAGAGAAAATGTGATTGTAATATTCAATATATAAAGCATCAAACAAAATGATATACAAAAATAAATATTTAATTTCATAAAATAAAACATTAAAAAAGACATAGAGTACAATTAAAGAATATTCATAACAAATCGTAAAAATAGTCCAGGCCTTGCCCGATTTCCCATATAAATATTCCTATGCCAAGTTCTGATGCTAACTTTATTCTGTCATGGATTGAGTGCAGTGTTGGATAAAATACGGCATGTTTTGTCTTCCCAGCCCTGAAATATAATAACATAAAATTAATAGTATAAAACTTACCCCTTTGAATACATTAGTAGTAGTAAAACCTTACTCAGTCCAGGACAGACCTGGCCTAACACCATTGCAAATACAATAGTTGCTGATGAAAGTATATCTATCACACAAATACTGGTCAAGTTATAATAGCATTTAAGCAATCTTTTGTTTATTCTCTAACCATCTCTACACAATAAGCTATTTAATTTTTAACATTTAGGTATCGGAATCCCTCCTATCAACCACGGATTTATATAAATCCGTGTATCAACAATGGACATTTCCAACTTCCAAGCAGGACAAGTTCATTAGTGTAAGATTTAATTTTGTTTAATGCTTAGGAAATAGATATCAATTCTGAGTGCATTGTTGTAGAATAATGCACGGTTTGAGTTCAAATGCGTAGTAATATAATCACGAAGGTCGATAGGCCTGAGTGATTAATTACAAAGCATTTGAACGAAAAACGTGCATTATTATACAATAATGCACGAAGAATTAATATCTATTTCCATTCTAACACGTCAAGAATAAATATAATTATTATTTTTAAGGTGGACTTTATGTTTGGTGGATAGATTTGTTTTCGCCTAGGGTTTTTTAACAGAAACGTTCTTTAAAGGCTGTTCCAGTAGGTTGAAAAATATGTCGTTAAATCTACCGTGTGTAGAAACATTTTGAGAATAACGAATTTTGAAAACGTTGATACAACTTTGATTCATTATTTTATTTCACTCTATAATTTTTCAAGCGAAATACAAATAATTAAAAGTGAAAAAAATGTAAAACTTAACTCGTTTGCGACATTAAAATAGCGTACTTGATTTGATTGTTTTGCACGTGCTGTTTGGCGCTACATTGTGACGTCACGTAAACAACACTTTAAACGTCTGTACAGCGTTAACGACTGAATTAAAGATATTGGTGTTCGGATTCATTTTCTTAGTTAGACCATTTTCTTTCATTCTAGATAGTTTTCACAACAAAATTCGGCAAAAAATTGTTTTTATTTATAAGATTTTTCAAACAAAATGGCGCCCTCAATGTGAAAATACACAGGGAGATAATAAGAACGGCGAGTGCATTGTTGTAGAATAATGCACGCTTCGGGCCTTCTTTGTTTACATAGAAAAAATCCGATAGTGTTAGAATGTCAATTTTAGTTTAATTTTTTTGGAGATTTTTTATGCAGGTAGTTTTAAAACAAATGATTTTAAAAACAATATAAATAAATAATGTGATTGGAAAATAAAGGTGGAAATGAAGTCATTCTAAAACAGACAGAATTATATTTTTGGTTTGGGTCTTATGTTGCACCAACAATGTGGAAGTTCATATGACAAGTTTCCAGCTTTACAGTACTAGTGGAGGAAGACAAGAACAGGCACCTAAGTAAAACCATCGGCACTCAGTAAGCTAGCTGGATAGCATGACAGAATACAAGCAAGCAAGGTTAAAAAAAGCAACAAGAGACAGCCACATACGCTAACACAATCCTGTATAACAAGAGTTTTATTGTACATCAGACAAAACAGACAATAATATATTTTTTACAAACACTTTATGCTGATTAAATCATCATCTCTGAAATCAATTTATCCCTGTGTATTTTGTTTTGTTTTTTCTTGTTACAGAACAAAAATTAAATTGAAGCTTACGTATACTGGAAATAATGTTCTGCAATATTTTCATCCCATGCTATCTTTGGTTTATATTTCTGTAATAATTCTATAAATCTGCAAACAAATTAATGCACATGATATTATAACAATAATGACAATTCATAATATACAATAGAAAGTTGCCAACCAAAATACAGGGTCTTTCAAATAGAATAGCATGCAAGTGTTCAAGAAAATGGCAAGAATTAAATATAAGAGCAAAAATGAAAATTCTAACGATATGATGTTCTTTAAAAATCTTTAAACTTGTGAAAAAAGAATACAATATTTTGAAAATAATGTTTTTAAAGCCATATCTGTTGAAAAATATAGATTGCTTGTTCAGAATATTTGCCAATAAATGCCGCCATTTTGAAAATGCACCAAATTAAACATCAAATATTAGAAAATAACATCCTGAAATATATTAAAAATTTTACATGATACGATTGAATCACATTTTTTCTCTGTAAAATCAATTTCTATTTTGGAATTGAATAATGCATTTGAAAGACCTTGCAAAATATTTGTATTTTGCAGAAGGCCAAAATTTTGCAAAATCAAAATTTCAGAATAATTATGATGCTAAATATTTGTCAATTTTTACTTGTCTTTCTGTACGTGAAATAGAGAACATTTATTTTTGCAATGTTAAATTTGAGAAATTTAATCCCTTGATATGTCCTTGGGTATTTTAAGGCCCAGATTTGTTGAACCAGGAAGTTTGGTAATTTGCTAATATACTTGGCACAATTTCAATAACTTACACTCTTATAAAAAAATAGTTAACCTGACATTTTGCAAATAATAGTAATCAATAAAATATAAAATTGTTAATATTGACTTTATCATTTCCTTTGAGCACTGTTCTGAAATGAAACACATACTTTCTTACATTATATTCTCTTTCACTCTTACATACATTAGCTGTCAATCCTTCATTCTCAATTTCTCATTGTGGGGAGTAATACACAACACATTTATTGTTCTTGTATAAGTTTGAATGATCAATAAAAAGTAAACTTACACATAAAACCTTAGTCTTTCAAAATGGCGAACTAAGAATAACTACATGTGTTTTGTATCTTAACTATACATCTGAATACATTTTACCAAAGTTCACTTTAAATTTTATAAGTTTGACAACAGGTTTAATATTCAATAACCTGCCAAAACCAAAATTTATAAGCCTTTGACCAGACCCAGTTTATATTATATATGTGGAGTCTGACCAGGATCTATACTAATGGCTGATCTTTAAATTTTCATCTTGATATTCACATAATTGGTAATGGACAGTTCCTTAAATAGAATCTGGAGAAATTCATTTAAGTAACTCAGCATGTTGAGAATTACATATCAAAGCATAATTATTAAAATACTAAGACGTCCATACTTATTTCCTAAAAGAGCTTCTCCTGTGCCTGACCAATAATCGTTGCCATAGAAATTGAGTCCTAGTAATATCTTAAATCTGTATGGAGACGTTCCTGCAGGATCTAATACAGTTACACATTGTTTCATCCATGGTAATGGGCTGTTAGGACCTGGTCTGAAAACATAGAAAAAGGTAGTAAATTTATGTTACAGTTGTCACTCCATTTGACCTATCTTTACTATATTTACATGAATAATGCATGCTTAAAGAAACTCCACTGAGGTCCAAATGCCTTAAAGTATAACATTTGAATTTTTTTACATAGATCAACTGGGGCAATTAAACAGAAAGATATCTAAGAAATATTGTCAGAATGAAATTGAAAATTGTATTTTTGTGTGATTCTTAACCAGACTTGAGTGAAAAGCGTTGCAAAAGTCATTTTCACAATTAAACTCATTATTCTGAAAAAAGGAGTAAGCGAACAATCTAAAATTTGAAATCAAGTTATTGGTCTAAATCTACATCAAATGAAACATTAATCTCTCAAAATTATTTCCAGTTCTGTCTTGTCAAAAAACCTCAGGGTAGTCCTTTTAATGTTGAATGCATTTTAGTATAATATTGTTATATCAGATTATATACAAACATTGGTCATAGCCCTGAAACTAGTGAAAGACAAATAACAATCAACTATGTATACATGTATTTCAATCCACTGAAGTCATATTTTATTTCTATTCTAATATGCTCAAATAAAAAGAATCAATGTGGCAATGAGTTGAATTACTTTCTACAAGTTTTCAAAAGTCATTTACACTTCGTCAACATATCTTAGGTGAGGTCATATAGCATTATAAAACATGCCAACTTGCATTTATTGTTTATTTTCAAACTCAAGTGCTATGATGTTTGAAATCAACACTATAAAGGAGACAGCAAAAAATGCACAATATCTAATGCTTGTTTCATACTCTTTCGAGTCCTTGTATATATGATGAGGGATCTACAAATCCTAGAGTCTGAAATCCAGGACAACTCTAATATTGGTCTGAATCATTTAACCTGTGGTGTATATTATGTTAGAATTTTCTTCTCACTTGAGGAATATTTTCAAGATTTTAGAAATTTTCTAATACCTTTATGCTTGACCCCCCTCCCAAACCCCATCAATAATATCCAAGAAACACCTTACCTGGAAGGATTTGAAAAGTCGTAGGTCATTAAAGTAAATTTATCCACCTTCGGAGCCAGCTGATCAAATTCTTCTTTTCCAAACATTCCAGGAGAATTTCTGAAGAAAAAAAAGTTATGGAATATACTTTCTCATCCATAAGACGGTCCACCTATAAGACAAGGGTACATTTAAGAAGTCCGAAGTAATGTCATCAATGTAAGAATTTCTTCATTAAGTCCTTATTAGTAAATGTGTTCAACTTCTGTCTTTTAAATTATAACACACCTTGGTTAACTTGATCTTCAGAGAATTTAAAAAATTTAAGTACACTTGTTTTTTTTTAAATGTTTTAGGATATAATGTCAGGACATTGAACAAATAAGGTTTGATACTGAATTTATTAAGCAAGTTGAATAAAACTACAATTTGTGAATTTCTGGCCAGCAAAATATTCTTTTACCCAAAAAGTTATATACATATTCAATTACAAAACTTCGCTGCTCAATGAATATATTCTATTTATTCACATAACAAAAGTAAGACTATAATTGACTGTAAAATCATTTTTGTTATAGATGTGCTACAACTTAAGTAACATTTAGCTCGGCTTTATGTTTTACAGTGCATATGACGTCACTAGACTGGACGTCACATCAAAATATATGCAATTTTTATGCATGCATATGCTATCTTTTTTTTTTTTACAGAGATGCAAAAACTGCACTGATATCAGTTACCAGCCAAGAGTTTTAATTTATTACACAATATTAGAATAAAACAACAACTGCAACAAAACAACAACAATGAAGTCATTATGTACAACAACAACAACAACAACAACATACTTATCATATACAGGAGGAGGTATCACCAGTATTAATTCTTTATTGGCATTATGGAAACTATCTGCCATGTGACTCAAAAAATGAACAAGTTCTCTGAAATATAACAAAAACACAATCATAAAATTTGATAATGGATTTCACATTTCTTACAAAAAGTATTTTGATCTGGTAGCCTTTATTTACTGAAACAATAGTTGACTTGAATAGTCATTCAATAAATATACAAATAAGGTGTCTAACCCTTACACTTCTGTATCTTGAAGTGATAAGCCTTTGCCACAAGTATAGAGCCAGGCCAGCCTTAAAAAATTGTTCACACTCACTGACAAGGCTCTATACTGTTGGCTGACAATCTAACAGAGAGTCCCTAAAATCTTTTTTGCTTAGGTTTTACATCACACCAACACAGTATAGGTCATATGGCAACTTTCAAGCTTTACTGGTGGATGAAGACCTCAGGTGCTCTCTGTGCATTATTTCAGGCACAAACAGGCACCTGAGTAGAATCACAGATATTCCATAAGCAACCTGGATAGAGTTTCTTAAATAAAAATTTAACAGAAATGTTTCAGAAATTCAGCAGGACATATATAATTGTGTTAAAAGACCACTGTTAATGTTACTGACAGTTCTTTATGCAGTTTTCATTTACAAAAAGATTTTTGACATCGTCTTGTTTCATCCTTACATGTCTAACTTTATGTTAAGGACTTATTCTGTTTTGAATTCCTGGCTGTCCATACTTTAATGTTTAAAGTGATTTCTTTATTTAAAATTCTGGAATTAAGCAGACAATAAAATAGAGTGAGTCTACAGAGAGTTGGAGCACCACACTACATATGTAAATACTGTATTCCAGTATCTATCAGACATTCTCTTATATGATTTAAAGCTAAAATCTTGCCTTTTCACCTGTGTAAATGTACTTTTAAATGGCAAATTAATCTTCTCAACTGTCATAGATGAAAAATGTAAGAAGAGCTGAAAGAAAGCAAAATTTTTCTACTTATGATTTTTGTCAAGCGTGCAGAGGTATTGCTCCAACATTGTAGTGAGATAAATCCAATAAAATAAGGCCTTGTTAGACTAGATAGCCTTGTCACACGGTATAATTAGCAGGCTGGCCTGTCTCTAGGCTATTTATTTTACTGTTGTTAGAAATATAGGGCTAACATAATAAAGTTACTTACTTCTTGGCATTTCCACCAAGCTGGGACCATATCTCCACCACAACTCCATCAAAACTGTTCTCCTGAATAAACAAAATTCATATGTGCCGTGACATGACAAAACCAACATAATGCGTTTGCAACCAGCATGGATCCAGACCAGCCTGCGCATCCGCACAGTCTGATCAGGATCATGCTCTTCGCTATCAGTTTCTCTACTTGTGCGAACAGCACGCATCCTGAGCAGATGCGCAGGCTGGTCTGGATCCATGCTGGTTGCAAACGCACTATGTTGGTTTTGTCGTGACGCGGCTCATGTATAACTTTTTAAACTAAAACTTTTCCTAAATTTTCCCCATAGTATTTATATTAAAGTACCCTTCTGAAGTTAATGAAGTTAATGTTTGGATATAAAGATGTACATGTATGCATTATCTAGTTTGAGTTACTTTTACCATATAATTTTGACATGGCATGGCCTTAGTATTATGATCATTATCACCAACCTTAATTGTCAATTAAGGTCCATGGTATTACATACTTAGTTTAGTTTATACACATTTATTTTAATTTGTGTTAAAAGCTATAAGCTTATTGAAACACTCTGGAATCAGTTCCTGGAACAAACCCATACAATGCAGTCAGAGTAAAGTTTATTGGAGTTTGAACATACGTCACTAGCAGCCATGCAGCCAGCAGCCCTTGCACTTTTGTTTTGTTGTTCTGTATTTTTTTCTTTTTTTGTGCACTCAATACCAAATATAATGTCATATTCTCAACTGAAATTTACAAAACAATTTTACTGAAATTATTTACCTTTATAAAGTCAAGAATTGTATCTATACAATCTTCTATGACATCTTCACTACTGAACAATGCTTGATAATCCTTCCCTGACCAACCATCAAACAATATACGAGGCACTGAAATATAAATTGCTCTATTTACCCGTTTCTTTACTTTCTTGTTTTCTTGTGTGTTTTTGCTTGTTTTTCACTTGCTCCTCACCACTGCGGGTTCGAATCATGACAGGGACTTTGGATTCCTTCATGTTAGGAACGCTATCGTGCAAGCTTATGGAATATCAGTGGTTCAACTCAGGTGTCTGTTAGTGCCTGAAATAATGCATGGACAGGCACCTGAGGTCTTCCTCAACCAGTAATGCAGGAAAGTTGCCATAAAAAAAATTATGACCTATACTGCATGTTTGTCTGTTTGACTGGTTCAATGATTGATTGAGATTATTTACGTCCTGTATTAACATTCCGTCATATACTGCCAGCAGCTAAATATCAGATACAGCACAATACTGTACATGTATCTACTGATAATTGTCACCTTCACTTCACTTGAAATACAAATGTACCATAATGTTAGGATTACAGGAAGCTATTTTTAAGCTTAAAAATTAAGGATGGTAATATGGATCCTAAAAGCTGTCTTTAACCATTCTCTGTCTATACTTGAAAATGTTTTACTTATTTAAAAAAACAAGAGCTGTCGGTAGGACAGCAACGCTCGACTATTCTAAGTGCTTGATAGTAAAAAAAAATGCTTGATACAGTTACCTCCTCCTGTTTACAAGTCGGGGTCATGATGGTGAACAAGTGTGCAAAGTTTCAAAGCCATATGTCAATGGACTTTGAAAATATTTGAACTATTACAAAAACTTTAACGTAAATTTTAAGTCGAAAAAGGGGCATAATTCTGTCAAAATGCTTGATAGAGTTACCTCCTCCTGTCTACAGGTTGGGGTCATGATGGTGAACAAGTGTGCAAAGTTTCAAAGCCATATGTCAATGGACTTTGAAAATATTTGAACTATTACAAAAACTTTAACGTAAGTGGTTACGCCGACGCGGACACCAACGCCGACGCCGACGCACGGGTGACTGCAATAGCTCTACTTATTCTTATTGAATAGTCGAGCTAAAAAGTAGGAAAGAATATGTCGATGTTAAGCTTAAACCCATCACCTCCTGGAACCAAAAGAGATTAGCTTTTGCACATTCCTGTGCTCTATAGTGTTGGCTGACCAAATTTTCAATAAAAAATATTTTATGTCAATTAAGAAGAGAATACCTTTGTAGTGATTGCAGTTTAAGTACTTACCCATTTTTGTTGATTTGCTTTTCTTGACATCTGATACCCAACCTAAAAGTAGGATAAACAAAAATAGTTTATAGATGCATTTATTGCTTTTGTTGTTGATATTTTTCAAGTGACAGTTTTCATTAATCTTTAATTCATACTGAATTTATTTAAGTTTGACTGAACATGAACCTAGAAGCTTAAAGACACACTCTCTACCAGTCCTGAGCAATGAGTGTAAAGTTTCTTGCTGGAGGAAACAATGGATTGCCCCTGATAGGGTTTGAACCCACACAGTTAGCAATCCTTAGATCACTAGGCAGATACATTAACCACTCATCTACCAACAGTTGTGCATACCCTGTATAAATGACATCTTAAAAGTGTAAACGGCCCATTTTTTGTCATTCCCCATTGGACCACTTTCAGGTAATTGTACATTGGACCACTGAAAAAGCAGCTGTTAATAGGACCAGTGTACCACAGGTGTTAATTTAGTAAACATAATAAACACTGTAGGACTGTTGCACATTTGACCACTTTAAAACAATTGCACCTAGGATCACTGTAGGATTGTTGAATACATGTATGTGGTGGTGATGATGGTTTTGTTAGTTCACCCTCCGGATAACGGCAGTAAGCTACACTGAATTTACCAAAGCACAGTTCAGAAACCACATCTTTTCCTGACAGGCTGTCAAGCAGTTAACCAGTAATAGTTGCCTTCTCTTTCACAAGGAAGTGATATCAATGACTGTGGAAACAATTTAATGATCAATCACAACAAAAGTAACCTACATCATGCCAGAATTGAAACCAGTCGGCTAAATGCTCTACCTACTGAGATAACCAGACAGTTAAATACAAGATCACTTAGGACTATTACACATTGGAGCACTATAAGACAATATAATGTTGGATCATTGTAGGACTGTTGCACATTGGAGCACTATAAGACAATAACATGTTGGATCATTGTTGGACTGTTGCACATTGGAGCACTATAAGACAATAACATGTTGGATCATTGTAGGGCTGTTGCACATTGGAGCACTATAAGACAATAACATGTTGGATCATTGTAGGGCTGGTGCACATTGGAGCACTATAAGACAATAACATGTTGGATCATTGTAGGGTTGTTGCACATTGGGCAATTATAAGACAATAACATGTTGGATCATTGTAGGGTTGTTGCACATTGGGCAATTATAAGACAATAACATGTTGGATCATTGTAGGGCTGTTGCACATTGGACAACTATAAGACAATTACATGTTGGATCATTGTAGGGCTGTTGCACATTGGAGCACTATAAGACAATAACATGTTGGATCATTGTATGGCTGTTGCACATTTGAGCAATATAAGACAATAACATATTGGATCATTGTAGGGTTGTTGCACATTGGACAACTATAAGACAATAACATGTTGGATCATTGTAGGGCTGTTGCACATTGTAGCACTATAAGACAAAAACATGTTGGATCATTGTATGGCTGTTGCACATTTGAGCACTATAAGACAATAACATGTTGGATCATTGTAGGGCTGTTGCACATTGGAGCAATAATAAGACAATAACATGTTGGATCATTGTAGGGTAGTTGCACATTGGAGCACTATAAGACAATAACATGTTGGATCATTGTAGGGTTGTTGCACATTGGAGCACTATAAGACAATAACATGTTGGATCATTGTAGGGTGTTGCACATTGAAGCACTATAAGACAATAACATGTTGGATCATTGTAGGGTTGTTGCACATTGGACAACTATAAGACAATAACATGTTGGATCATTGTAGGGCTGGTGCACATTGGACAATTATAAGACAATAAAATGTTGGATCATTGTAGGGTTGTTGCACATTGGAGCACTATAAGACAATAACATGTTGGATCATTGTAGGACTGTTGCACATTGGACAACTATAAGACAATAACATGTTGGATCATTGTATGGCTGTTGCACATTGGACAACTATAAGACAATAACATGTTGGATCATTGTAGGGCTGGTGCACATTGGGCCAATTATAAGACAATAACATGTTTGATCATTGTAGGGTTGTTGCACATTGGGCAATTATAAGACAATAACATGTTTGATCATTGTAGGGTTGTTGCACATTGGGCAATTATAAGACAATAACATGTTGGATCGTTGTAGGGATGTTGCACATTGGACAACTATAAGACAATTACATGTTGGATCATTTTAGGGCTGTTGCACATTTGAGCACTATACGTCAATAACACGTTGGATCATTGTCGGGCTGTTGCACATTGGAGCACTATTAGAAAATAGCTTGTTGGATCATTGTAGAGATGTTGCACATTGGAGCACTATTAGAAAATAACTTGTTGGATCATTGTAGGGCTGTTGAATATTGGACAACTATAAGAGGAGTGTACATTTGAGCATTGTAGAACATTATTGTACATTAAAATTGCACATTAAACCCCTTTAAGATGATGTTACATAGGATCACTGCAGAGCAATTGTACATTGGACCACTTTGAAACAATTTTAAATAGGGTCACTGTAAGATTACTAAAGACCAGGCCAATATCATACATTGCACATAGGACCACTGTTGAACAGTTGCACATCGGATAAATGATGTACATGTAGCACAATCGCACATCACTGTGAAACAAATGAATATTTAACAAATTTAAGAACAAGAGCTGTCAGTAGCACAACAAGCTCAACTATTCTCAGTGCTTGATAATAAAACTAGGGCCTAGACAATGTAGAATTTTCAAGGTTAAGAAAGGGCTATAATTCGGTCAAAAACAATTTGGACGTTGAATGCTGGCCACTGTAAGACAATTGCACATAGGACCTAACTAAATCTAAAGTATTCTGAATTTTTAAATCCATTGAAATACTCATGAACTGTTTCAACTACAAATCAAGTCCATAATTCAATTGTAGCATACAAGTATGCATTCGATGATTGTAAGCTAATTGATATTCAATTTCATAAATCTAACAAAATAATTGAAGGTATTAGAGTGTTAAATTTGTGGTATAAAATTGAACAAACCTTTGTCAATATCGTGTCCACCAGTAATTACAAATGCTCCTCCTGGTTTTCTCTTTACTTGTAACCAAACTGGACTTACATATGTAAACTTTTTATTGAATGTCTTGGCAACATCATAACCATGGCTATTCCACTAAAATACAAACGATTTTTATACATGCATGTATTTAACTGTTAGCCTGCAGGCAGCTACAAAATTTACAATTGTATTCAGTGCAGACAAATATCAATGATCATAGTCTGCACTGTCTACCACTCAGTTGATACCTACAACTTTTTTGAAATTTTCCCCTAAATATGATAAATGGGGTTAGTACATATTGAGAGTTGGTCAAGTCCATTTAGGTTATTAAGTGTGGTAAGGGATAATTATAAGTTGTCTGGTTTAAACCACTAATTGCTAGTGATTACCAAGACTTGCTTATGCTACCTGTCAAGGGCTAGATCAGCCTGACCAATTTCAGATCCCTGCAAGTATACATGATTGTATACATGTATTTGTTACACTGATCAATCTCCAACGAGCCTCTCTGACAAACTAAAAAAACATCGCATCAAGTGTCTTAGTGGTAATTAACTTACTTAAAGGTGTAACAAATCCAAGTGTCTCAGTAGTAATTAGCTTACTTACAGGTGTAACAAATCCAAGTGTCTCAATGTTAATTTACTAACTTACAGGTGTAACAAATCCAAGTGTCTCCCCCTGGAATGTCTTCTTGTGTTTTTCTACCTCACAGAAAGTGGCATGATTATTGACTATATCCTTCCATTTTACATCTGAATTTATCAATCCTCTGTCTTTAACATTCTTGTCGGATAATTTTGGAACCTACAAACAAAAATACATTTCCAAATAATGTAAAAGATGAACAGCAAACACCATGGCTTTAGAACTGCCTTTGTACTTGACCCATTTTATGTCATTTTATTTTAAACACCATTATCAGTGTAATAGGGGAAAACATTTTACAAATTGTCACATCTGGGATATTATGGATAACTGAAGCAAAATATGATTATTTATACAACTGCATTATACACGTTGCTGATTGGATAAGGCTGATATAAGGGAGAATATAGCGTGAATGACATAAATATGACCTGAGGTGCTAGAGCAGTCCGGATTTTCACTGTATGTACAAAGTGTTTGAACCAATCTAAATTCATGAAATTTATTTGTATTATTACAAATATTGATATAAAATGAAAGTCAATAGTGGTTTTAAATGACATTCTTTACATATATTTCTGACAAAGAAAGATAAAGCATTCAAAACTATGCTTTTTTGAATCATTGGTATGTAGCTTCCACAAGAAAAACCTGATTAATTTATTTATATATATGAAGTTGTAATGATTTGTCAGTTTATTATCAGACACATGCAAAACTTATTTTAACACACTCACCTCTTCTTCCTGTTTACTCTTCTTTTTCCTTCCTCTATCACTTTTTGATAAGGTTGCTGAAACCTCTAGTGCAACCATCAAAACAAAAGCTGCAAACAAAAGTCCTCTCATAACGTCCATAGTGAATATTGCTGAAAAATAAAGAACAAAGCTAAAGAATAAAATGTAACACATTGCATCAAGTCAAATAATTTCTAAGCTTAACTGTGTCACTTTAGAAATATCTTTTAAAAGTTCTCTAAGATGGAAGTATGATGTAGTAATCAGAATTGAAGTTACAATGATTAACATAAAAAGTTAATTTTATTATCCATTTTGATATATCGACATGTTTAAATTATGTAAAAACCAACAACACTAATTCGAGATTAACAAAAATTGCGGACAGAATGTCAGAAACACTCCCAACACTTCTAAGGTTAAACAATCATTAGAGATTAACGAAAAAAGCAGACAAAATATTCGGTAACACTTGCAAGACTTCGATAGGTTGAACACTACAAATTCAGTTGTATCCAATTCAAACGGTACAAAATACCTACCTTTAATTATTACTTATGAAGTCCAAGAAAGATTTATATTGTTTATATATTGAAAATGTTATGCTTGTTATTTAATCGTAAGGGCTTTCCATGTCAAAGATACATGTAGCACCTATAATACACCCATTGACAGTCTCTATATGAACTACATTGTACATAAATTAATTACCAAGGCATATTATCGAGTGACAAAATACCAGTTGTTTCCCTTTATATCATCGGTATCTCTAATGCTAAAACAATACAAATTTAGCCATTTTTAAACCACTTGTTTGGGACAATTTAATGTTTTAAATCTAATTTCAAGATTATTACACCAATGAAAAGCTTGTGATTTTAAGCTTCATCTCAGTATATATTTCAACAAATTGTTTGACAGTATTTAAATAACAGTTAAGCTACCAAAAGTCAGACCGTTTTACATATGATTTATACAGTGGGATACTCAACCGGTTATCTTTTCTCGCAATTCTTCTGATCAGAATAGCTTGTCTTCTACTAAGTCTGAAACTGTCAAACAGTGTATTTCATATTATAATAATCAGCTGATATAAATTACCCAGCAAACACCTGACGTTGTTTCAACGTTGGATCTAAGTTGGATTTATGTCACGACGTCAAAATCCTAAATACAACGTTGAAACAACGTTGTATTTGCGATGTCGTATCAACATGTTGGAATTACGTCGATACGACGTCGGATTTCAGTGTAATCCAACATAGTAGTCTTGATTGAGTTACTTCCCTTTGTTCTGATTTATAAATCCGATAGGTGGCTCTGATTTCAGGTCAATATAATCATTCGAATTTTGTAATTCTTCTTTTTTTCCACATCCATTGTATATTTTTTTAAAAACTGTTGTTATACTAGACCATAAAAAGGAACAATATTAGTATTTCATTTAAATAAATTGAAAAAAATAATAATGGAAACTTGATGAATTTCAAAACGAGGCTACAACAACAATTTGTTTTCAAATTCAAACAAAGACAAAGGAAGGACATTATGCACATCATAGAAGACAATTCGCATAGTGAAAAGTAAGTGATATTTTTGATGGTAGATAAGTATTAAACTTACTGCATGCATAGTATAATAACTGAAAAATTATTAGTTACATTAGGAATATAATTATATTTTCATGATATTCAATTATCTCAGTTCTAAACCAGTAAACTAATTAATGTAGTCTGATTCGCCCTCATTTAACTCGTACTTTGGGATTCAATTGATATATAAATTGTATGAAATTCTGTCAAACTTTTTGTTTTATTTGTGTTGTCATTTTAAGCCAAGATCCCTACATGACCTTAATCTCTCTAATTCGATTTATCAGATTAGTAGACTAGATAACAATAGGTATTTCACCACAACGTATTTGTTAACAAAGGAACACCTGTCAATATTTGAGATTTAATCTATTTTTATTCAAATAGATCTACATGTAAAAGGTCAAAGTAGGGATCTATCAATACATAAGTATACTGTCAAAGTAAATTTATAACTTTTTGTCAATAATCATTGGGTTTTGTTTTTTTTATAGACTGACACTTAATTTTTGTGTGATGACAATTAGCTGATAAGATTGTATACATGAACAACAGTCGACAGAAAACACCATTTTGACATAAAAGAATGATAAGTGCATCAAATTAAGATAATATATGGATTTTGATTTTGTTATTTACTGTAATTTCTGCTTTGACATAATTAACTGTTAATCAAAAGTAAAATTATAATAACGTTTCAATGTCTTATGATTGAATTTGCACCTTTACATGTTACTGTTTTGCAAATAACATATATTTGAAGTTACAGTTTTTGAGTGTTCTACATCATCAATCGACATCTGATTTTTATTTATGATATGCTAGGGTAATCTATTGATAATGTTATTTTTATTTAATATAATTTAATTGACCATTTTGGTTGTTATATGTACACCTATTTATTTCTGTTTCAATTTTGCAGTTTCAAGGAAAACAAAACAAGTTGAACTTCAAAACAAGTTTGACACAGTGCCTTCGTAGATGAAAATAATCAGGATCCAGTGGTGGATGTTTAGTGTACCAGAATTATTCACATGGAGGAGTATATCTTCAAATTTAATACATTTAAGTTAGTTTTGAAAGAATAAAGATAAAAAATTACTTACTTTCTTTAAATGTGAATATTTATTTATTGTTTTGTGTCACACTTAATTTTGACAGAAAGGAATATTTTCCCTCACTTATCCGATTTGTTACCCAATGAAATCAACTGCAAAAGAAAGCTTTATGTTCCATGATGATTTCCATTTTCTATGAGTTATTTAAAAGAAAACCTTTTTAAGCATGTTGTAAACATGAATACTTTAATTGACATATATTGTAATAGTTAATGTATACTGTAGACCTTTAAATCAAAATGATTTGTTGACTGTTGTTTGTTATAATTTTGGATTACAAAATGTGTATTATTGTATTGACTGAAAGAGGTCTGATAAATGTTGAACTTCAATTTTGAAAAGACATGTAGCTCTTTTTTTTAAATTTTAATAGTTTATATACAATTTATAAATATCAAAATTTATTTTATTATCACTATAAATGATTAAAAGTGAATCATTTTTGTGATGTTATACAAATGTGTTGGAAATATATATTTACTGTTTATTAAGTTTTACATGAATAGATAAATCAGAAACTGTGTTATACATTTTGTTTAATTGTTTTTATGATCACTTTCTAAAATAATAAAATCACATTATCTTATGTCCCAGTTTTCGAGTATAGAAAGTTTTGTATTTTCTCTTTATTTGGGAATTATTTAATGAAAACGGGTCAAGTTTATGTTGGGAATTGGTTGGAATTACGTTTGAAACTAGTTGGTATTACGTAAGTAACTGGTTGGAATCATGTTGGAAACTGGTTGGATTCACGTTAGGAATAGGTTGGAAAGTAGTTGTATATACGTTGAAAAGAGGTTGGATTTATGTCATTTTATGACGTTGGATTGACGTCGGACTCTGACGTCTAAAAAACTTTCATATACAACTAAATTCCAACGTCTATCCAACATCGGACTCTAACGTCTGAGCAACGTTGAAACAACGTCATGTGTTTGCTGGGTTGTACATGTATACTGTGCTCCTCTTAGTTCACGGTACTTAACACTTTAAAACAGTAAAGAACACAAACAATAAACTTACACAACAAAAACTGTTATAAACTGTATCATTTAGTCATTTTTCTGCTATATGACACAAGGAAACAACAATATATTCAATCAAAATTAGTTTTAATTTGTCAGATGTAAACCGTGTGTCGGCCATTTTGAAAACAGTATGTCATCATTTACCTCGCGGTAATGGTGATTTATTTCAGTTTTTTTATATTTCAGTTAAAATTTCTTACATAATTTTATATATTAAAAGTATCTTTACATTGTAACTCAAAATTCATTTTTTCAACAAACAAGAACATTTAGAAAATGATGATTGTTTCAGACATATCACGGATTTATATTACATGTAATATATAAATCCGTGGACATATGCACAAATTTAATGGACTTTTGTTGTTTTTTGCAGAAGTTTGTAAAATGTTGTTCAGTTTTACATAAAAATCTATAGATTTAGATTATTTTGCACAAAAACTTTGTTGTTAAGGTGTTTGAATAAAATATGTCAATTCTGACCAATTACAACAATGGTCACATGAAAATATGCCATTACCGTGAGATAAGTGATGACGCGGAATTAGTGATGTTGAGTATACTTAGTGTAATGGGAATGGACTTAACTTCTGCTTTCAGATTAATGTTCAAACATACACTATCGATAAGCCGTACCACTGTGACTCTAATCGGCTATAATCCTAGAATAGACACCGGGGTCAAATAGCCTGTGAAGTGTGATGAATTTTAGCTCGCGAAAACACATGCTATTTTTTATAAAACAACATGACATTGTACAATTTTCAACTATAAACAACTAGAACGAATAGTGACATTAAGATTTTATACTTAGAATAAAAGAAAATTTTAATAAGGGAAAGAAATTAAAGAAAAACAAAGCAATGTTTACGTGGTTGACATCTACATCACCGAAACGCATGAGATATGTGCCGTCACATACCGTACAACGTCCGTACAGTACCGTACAATGATACCGCTTGGGTTTTCTTAAAGTTACGCGAAAGACGTTCAATAACGTTAATTTTGTTCATGATATCTTCAACGTCCTTCCAAATGATGTCATCATGATATGTAATAACATTCTTAAAATCTAGTTAAACTGTCCTATTTAGTATTATAATTAAGGAAGTACAAATCCTCGCTTAAAGTCATAAAAAAACATATGCATTTTCGACTTCCATATAATTTTGAAAAGTGCCGTACGGCTAGCCAATGGCTAGTCTACGGAATGCCGTTAGGGCCATCGCCTATGAATGTGTTGATCTGAAACGCGATAGTCGATAGTACGATGGTGTAAACGCGAAATCACGAAACTACGATGGTGAAAACGCGAAAGTACGATGATGAAAACGCGATAGTACGATGATGAAAACGCGACAGTACGATACTACGATGATGAAAACGCGACAAACTATCGTGTTTTCACCATCGTACTGTCGCGTTTTCACCATCGTAGTTTCGTGATTTCGCGTTTTCATCATCGTACTGTCGAGTATCGCGTTTCAGATCAAACCATTTATAGGCGATGGCCCTAACGGCATTCCGGAATGCCGTTAGGGCCATCGCCTATGAATGTGTTAATCTGAAACTCGATAGTCGATAGTACGATGGTGAAAACACGAAATCACGAAACTACGATGGTGAAAACACGATAGTACGATGATGAAAACGCGATAGTACGATGATGAAAATGCGATAGTACGATGATGAAAACACGACGGTACGATGTTGAAAACGCGATAGTACGATGATGAAAACACGACAGTACGATGATGAAAACGCGATAGTACGATGGTGAAAACGCGATAGTGCGATGATGAAAACACGACATTACGATGATGAAAACGCGAAATGACGAAACTACGATGGTGAAAACGCGACAATACGATGGTGAAAACACGATAGTTTATCGCGTTTTCATCATCGTAGTATCGTACTGTCGCGTTTTCATCATCGTACTTTCGCGTTTTCATCATCGTACTTTCGCGTTTTCACCATCATAGTTTCGTGATTTCGCGTTTTCACCATCGTACTATCGACTATCGCGTTTCAGATCAACACATTCATAGGCAATGGCCCTAACGGCATTCCGTACTTGTCGTACGTGACTCACGTACGGCTAGAACTTTTGGCTAGCCGTACGGGCTCGTACGGCTAGCCACTTAAGTTAATCCTAAGTGGGAAACGGGGGGAAATCGATCATGCATGTTAATATTGTACATACCACGTGAATTTAAACAGAGCAGCGCTGATATACATGCACAGCAAAAAATTGGGAAAATTTAAACATACATAATAGTAGACAGACGGAATTTTAAAATAAAAAGCAATTAACAATAAATTAATAGATACTCGATCGTGGTAACCTGCAGGTTTTATATCATTTAAATAATTACCACCTATACGTATACTGTATATTTTTATTAAGTTTGAAACTATCATTATGTACTTAATTCTACAGGTATAATCTTTTTTGTAAAGAATTGGTTAAAAGAATACTTACAATAAGATACAACAATGCAGTTAAGTATTGTGTATTTAAGTATCATTGCTATGTTTAGTTAAGTTTAGTTACATGTAGCAAAATTTAGTTTATCAGTTATTTTGTTATTTATTCAGTCCATTGCTATTTCAATAATACGAATCAAGTTTTATTTTCTTTAAGATCTTTATTTGATCTTTGATTTTATTATTATTGTGATTTATATCTCATTTAACATGATGGCCCTTGATTGGAAATGGAAGTTATTTTATTCTATTCTATCTGATGCTAGGAAAAGTCTGAGGCTAGGAAAAGTCTGATGCTAGGAAAAGTCTGATGCTAGGAAAAGAAAAGTCTGATGCTAGGAAAAGTCTGATGCTAGGAAAAGACTCTCATATGGTGGCTGATTTGTGCCATTTGTGTTTTCGTCCCGAAACCCCGCAAAGCGAAAAGTCGAGAATTAACAAATTAAAATGGCGGGGGCGCGGGGCGAAAACACGAATGGCACAAATCAGCCACCATACTCTCATGATCAACACTTATTATCATTGCTTAATTAGTGATTACATGTAACGCGGAATTAGCTTTCCAATTTGTCCAGTTCTTATTATACCATTAATTTTTATCCTTGCTACCAAATCTACTATTGTATCAATATTTATTCTTTATTATAGTCTCATCTATACACATATATACATATAAAACATTTAAAACATTAAAATTGTATATAGCCATTCTCGAAAGAATTACAAGAGACTTGTTATAGCTAATACTAAGAGGGATAACTCCACAATCCATATTATAGAAATGTATAATATGTATTGTAGATTTACCTCCCTTATTTATGTATATTCACATTCTCAACATTTACATCATATAAATCAATTGCAATAGGATGACATAATTGCACATTGTCATTATTAAAAAGTTATTTGAGACATTTAATTACAAAATTATAAGAGACTTTTTACATTCTAAAAGTTTGATAACCTCTACTGACCTTGTCTTAAAAACTTCCATAAGAAATTATACTGTAAAATACTAAATTTTGTAATAAAAGCACTATCAAGCAATATAAAAAATGGTTTTACAAAATCATTTGTCACTCATGTTTAGACAATGGATGAACTGTTCAGTAGTGATTATCAAAACATAGGGATAAAACTTATTTATGAAATTAAAATATATCATATTCTATATTAAAATTTCTATGTGTTTAAAATTATATTAACTGTTCACTCCAGGCAGGAGGTGAGATACAGACATAACATTGCATTCTTGTTTATGAATTAAGAAATGTTCTAAAGACTAACACTTATTTAACAAATAAAAATAGCATTGTCAGTATCAATGACAAACCTGCATGCAAGTTTACTAAAACTGTATGTATCAGCTTTAAATTTCAACTTTCATTTTAAATAAAAAAACATAAAAACATATTTTTGCTTTCAGTTTTTTGTTATACATTTCATTGTAGTGAAAGTTACTTAATAGAATGAGTTACATTAAATTTGATCAAATCAGGATTGGCCATAAAAAATTTATAACATGGTAAAACAAGAAGGATTAGGGAAATGATCAGATTAAGGTCAGAAAATGGTCAGATTTAAGCAGAAAAGGGTTAAGATTTAGATCGGAAAATGGTCTGATTGAGGTCAGAAAATGACCAGAAACTGGTTAGATTTAGGTCGGAAAATACATGTAGTCAGATTGAGGTCGGAATATGGTTAGATAACGGTCAGATTTTCGTCGGAAAATGGTCAGATTTTGGTCAGAAAATGGTTAGATAATGGTTAGACTCTGAAGTCTCCATGACGTCAGATTATTACGTCAAAAAAACTTTCAAATCCAACCGTTTTTCCGACCGTCATCCGACGTCAGAACCTGACTTAAATCTGACGTCAGTGTGACGTCTTGTGTTTGCATTCTAAATACATGTAGCTCACTTTTCATGCATAAATGTTAAAAGTTCTGCTTTCACCAGTGTAAGGTTCCCGGTGCGTGAACGGTGACTCACACTTTTCCCCGAGGTCCATGAACAGGCCTGCGCTCAAGCAAATCTTGGTTACGTACTGGTCAGAAGCCAAAATCAAACAGAGCCTGCAGCATTTTTAAGTTTGCCGTTTTTGTTGTTCTTAAATCAAGGTTTTACATAAATATAATGAAACTTAAAAAAATCGCAATACTTCCATCTTAGTAAGAGATCATTTACTGTCGGTATCATCGTCGGATACCCACGGCCGAACCATTAACATTGATTGCATGTTATGTGACATGTTTATCAATCGTGGGTATCCGACGATGTGTCGGTATCAACATGTAAATATCTATCTCTTATACTTTTGAAACCTTAACGAACACGTCATTCATCATATAATCTGATCGTTACGATTTCGAAATAACACAAGTTGCTTTTGTCCGTTTCCCGTTGTGCCCTCCCGCGAAAAACCGGTAAATGAATAGAAAATAGCTCAAGGCGAAACAATGAACCGTAAATTTATGATCATGCTGATACGTTGTGTTTCCGAGACCTTTAAATTATTTATTGGATGGACGCAACACTTTTTACCAGTATTTTGGTAAAACGAGAAAACAAGAGTTGATAAATTGGTTCCTTGCCTTTTTCACACGAACAAAAAATCTCCAGGACTTAATATGATTTAAATCCCAAAAGTACAAGAAGGACAAAACACTTCCGATTAAATTTATATTTGGTAAACTAATTGAGGTGAACGTTTGCGTAATCAAAAACAAGAGTGATGAGGGAGGTAAACATTGTGATATTAGAACTATGTATACGTCCCTGCCAACTACCCCCCCCACACACACACACGCACACACACACACCACGCACCTCATTTAACTTGCCGAAAAATATAAATGTTTACAGTATAATAATAATAATAATAATAATAATAATAATAATAATAATAATAATAATAAATAATAATAGTAATAATAATAATAATATTAATAATAATAATAATTACGGAAGCCAATTGGTGCCATTTTGACTCAAGTGTTTTCAGATGTTCTAACTTCTGTAAAAATTAGGAAGTCAGAAAGTGTGTTCTATGGAATGCCGGTAGGGACATGCCACTTTGCTTATTTGCCAACTACTTAATTGCTTATTTGCTAATTGCTGATTTGCCAATTTGCTGATTTGCCAATTTGCTTATTTGCTAATTGCTTATTTGCTTATATACATAAATTTTTATGCTATTGTCAGGCGACACGTCCGAATCGCAAAGTTCTTGTTTGATATAAAATAACAAGTCTTTGTAGACTTTATTTCAAGCTCATGAACCTATATCATGTTATTATGTTTATAAAGTTTTGTTAATTATAATTTGTGACAATTATTATCAATCCATCATTACCTAGAATATAGGTAGAAAGACAGATGGATACATTTTAATCAATTTCGAAAAAAATAAATTCAGTTTCAGAAAGCAGTTGTTTTTTTTAATTATCTTGAGTTTCAGTTTTAGCTCCACTATTCAGAGAATAGGGATGCTATTCTACCCACCAAGGCATTGGTTTTCTTGGTAACTTGTTTTTCTGTCATATCTCTGTTACTTTTGCTGATTCATTCATCTTACTGCAACTTTGCATAAACTTACAAGCATGCATACAAAGTACATGAAGAAGCTGTGCCCGTTTATATACTGAATGTCAAGGTCATCAATGTATTGTACTACGAAGCCTTTGTTTTTCTGTCATATCTCTGTTACTATTGCTTATATCTAACTGTAACTTCACATAAGCATTAAATAGGCAGCATGCATACACAATATTCAAAGAGGCTTTGTCCATTATACCCTAGGTCATGATCATGGTCATGGTCACCTGATAGCATGTAAAATGTACAACATGAAGAAATGGAAAAGTGTGACCAAATTTCAAAAACATTGAACCAAAGCAAAATGTTGATGCACACACAGACATAAGTGATCTCAAAATCTCACAGAGCTAAAAACGCAGCCTATTGCTTAAGTGCAAAGACAATCACCCGTGTTAAGCATGCACCAAATGTATCATTCGTGATACTATGTGTTTGTACCACTACAATGAGGCCCTCTGTGACAAATCTGCTGAGAATAACGACATTTTATATGCCATAAAATAAGAAATAGTTTTGTTTTCAAGTTCTTTTATTTTCAATCTTTACCCAATAAATTTCACTTATATATGACTAATCAAGTGTTTATTATGCCATCAATCTCTGACTTAAGCTGCACAAACAGATCTATAGCTGCAACACATTATAAGGCATCCTCAAGCACAGATGCTGGCGGGTCAGACCCTGCCCCTAACGTGATACGCGTCTGTAAACACTATATCAAAACTATTTTAATATTTATTTAAATACGAATTGGACATTTGTTACAACGATAAAACCATTAAGTACTTTATTGAGACTTGGTGGTATATGGTATTTTTTCATACCGGTATATGTAAAAATTGCTTGAAAACCAGTTTTAGCGATGTCCAATTCGTGTTTAAATATTAAAATATTTTAGATAGAGTGTTTACAGGGGCACGTATCACGTTGGGGTACAGGATCCGACCCCAAGCGTCTGTGTTCTCAAGGACATGTCAGCCATCAGTTGTAGACATATATCTGCGTAGGCATCACTGCAACTAAATTCATTGACCAACAGTATTCTTGGAAAAACACTGAATTTACAAGAATACTGTTGGTAAAAGTTAACAGATCTGACTCAACTGGCTGTCTGTAGTCAGATTTTCCATATATTTCCGGCACAGTGTAAAGTATTTCTATTGCAAAAAAGCAAATTAGCAATTGGCAAATAAGCAAATACGTAAACCAGCGGTTAACAAATAAGCAAATTAGCAATTCAGCAATTGGCAAATAAGCAAATTTGTCGTTAAGCCTATCAGCCATTGGCAAATAAGCAAATCGGCAATCAGCAAATAAGCAATTCAGCAATTGGCAAATAAGCAAATTGGCATGTCCCTACCGGCATTCCATAGTGTTCTGATAAAATTGTCAAAACTAGTCCGTTTAAAACCTAGTTTACGTTTTTTGACAGTTATATAAAACAATTATCATTCAACATTTAAATTGCATTTAAAGCCAGTTGATAAATCAGGCAATGAGTGTGTTCCGGTAAACGACTGGTAGACTGGTGAAGTAACAGTGGCATGTCAGCAATCCACGCTTTATTTTTCATTTCCTTTCAGATAAAAATTCAGTAGAGTGCCTACATGGTCAATATTTTTTTTAAAGTTATATATTAACGTTTATTGACTATTGTTACTTATACCATTTTTCTTCTATTGTTTTGTTCTATCAATTAAATGGTCTGGATAATTTATCATAAAACAAAACAAAAATACAATAAATTGAGAAAATTGATTGTCTTTGATTAGTATGTTATAGCTCTATTGTTATATTACAGTAAACTGTTTTTTTTTCTAATCAAAACCTTTTATCTATGAACAGAATAAATTTTATTTATGGGAAGGTTTTTCTTCTTCTTTTATCTCAATGTTTTCACTAGTTTATTGGCAATAACTTGCAAATTTCTCTGATACAACACTTCACTTCAAATGAGACAACATTTCGGATTATACCACATCTGATGTTTTAAACCGTTCAAGTACTTGTGTTTTAGTGAAATCATTAAATACTATTTTAAGTTTTATGAATTACACCCAGTTAATCTCAGAACCAACAAGATGCACTGTTACATCAGCAACAGCAATTGATTTGATATTAGTATCCGACAACAGCAGGATCTCACAAAGTGGTGTAGTACCTATTGGAATTAGTGACCATTATTTAACCTTTTGTACAAGGAAATTAAGGAGCCTTGACAAAGATTCTACTGATCATAATACAGTAAATTTACGTTCAATGAAAAATTACAGCAAAGTTATCTTCCAGGAAAAATTATCAACTCTTGACTGGATGTCTATTCTATATTGTGATGATGTTATCAAAGCATGGTCTATTTTTAAAAAAATATTTTTGAGTGTTATTGATGAAATTGCTCCAGTGAAGCAAACACGCATGAAAACTCGAACAGAGCCTTGGATGAGCAGTGATTTACTTGATTTGATTCAACAGAGAGATAAACTTTGTGAAAAATTTAAAAAATCCCGTAGTGAAGAAGATTTCATACTTTATAAACTAATTAGAAATCAAGTGCAATATCAAATAAAAAAGTGTAAAACTGATTTTATCAAACAAAATATTGAAGACCACAGGACTGACTCGAAAAAGTTATGGAAAACATTAAAAGGTTTAGGTGTACCATCAAAAAAAGACTCTTCGTCTTCAAATATAGGTTTAAACATCAATAATAGTTTATGTTTTGATAAATTTTGTGTTGCTGAAAAATTTAATGAATTTTTTACGACTGTTGCTCAAAAGTTAGTTGAAAAACTTCCTACTAGTATGAATAATTTTGGAAGAAACTTTATATTATATTTTTATAGTAAAAAGGGTGTTGTACGTAACAGTTTTTCTTTATCTGTTGTTACTAAGGGAACTGTAATTAAGTACTTAAATAAACTAGGGGCCAATAAAGCTACAGGCTTGGATGGTATACCTGCGCGATTTATAAAGGATAGTGTTCACAACATTGCTGAACCCCTTACTCATATACTTAATTTGTCCATTATTACTGGTATTGTTCCAGATGATCTCAAGTCTGCCCGTGTTGTTCCATTGTATAAAAAAATAATAAGACTGAACCTGGTAATTATCGACCAGTGTCTATTTTAAGTGTAGTGTCCAAGGTCCTTGAGAGAATTATTTATGACCAAGTAGAGAGTTACTTATCAGAGAAAAACCTACTTTATACCCATCAGTCTGGTTTTAGACATAGATATTCTACTGACACTTGCCTTTTACACCTTACAGATTTCATTAAATTTGAAATGGATAAAGGTAATTATGTTGGTATGGTCCTTTTAGATTTACAAAAGGCGTTCGACACTGTCGATCATGATATTTTACTCATGAAACTTGATGCTATGGGGTTTTCTAGTGATGTTATTCACTGGTTTAGGTCTTACTTATCTAGCCATACACAAATGGTCAATGTCTCCGGTGTACTTTCATCTAGCGCCAATGTAACTTGTGGGGTACCCCAAGGTTCGATCCTTGGCCCTCTCCTATTCTTGATTTATGTTAATGATATGGAGGCTGTGGTTCGTAATAAATTGCTTCTATATGCTGATGACTCAGGTATTTTAGTATCAGGTAAAGATATCCAGTATATTACCTCTCAGCTTACTGATGATCTCAGCAGTGTGAGTAAGTGGCTCACTGATAATAAACTTTCCTTACATCTTGGAAAGACAGAGTCTATTTTATTTGCGTCTAAACCAAGACTTAGGTCATGCAATCAACTAAATATTGTATGTAATGGCACTACAATAACATCCACCAAATCTGTTAAATACTTAGGTGCTGACCTAGATCAATGTCTATCTGGTGAGTCTATAGCCAACCAGGTAATTAAGAAGGCCAATGCAAAACTTAAGTTTTTATATAGAAAAAGTTCATTTTTAAATAGGTATACTAAACAACTTTTAGTTTCTTCATTAATACAATGTCATTTTGATTATGCGTGTGCCTCCTGGTATTTAGGGTTGAGTCAAAATCTAAAAAATAGACTTCAGGCCACACAGAATAAGTTGGTGAGATTTATACTTAATCTCAGTCCCCGTACTCATATAGGGAGGGCTCATTTTGAGGAAGTTGGTTGGTTACCAGTACATCTGAGGGTAAATTACCTTATTCTTGGTCATGTACATAAGATACATAACAATAGTGCACCTATTTATTTAAATGAGCATTTTCAAATTGCAAATGAGGTACACTCTTACTCCACTCGATTTAGAGATAGTAACAGTTATTCTATTCCAAGAGTTAAGGGTTTCGGTAAGAAAACATTTGTATTTAATGGTTGTTAGGAATGGAACAGGTTACCAACACATCTTAGGTTCATAGCAAGTCGTGATAATTTTAAAAAATCTCTTCAGGAACATTTTATGCAATCAATATCTGTTTAGTCATTTTAATCTAGTCATCTTACCTAGATTTTATTTATATATTTTTTATGTTTAGTGCATATTTTAGTAGTACCTATTCATTGTCAAACATATCTGTCATAGTAATTATGATTATAATACATGTGTGATAAATTTTGTGATGGAAATACTTATGTGCAATAATTGATATGAAATTGTGATTGAATAATTTATGTGCAATACTTAATAATTAGTAAATATTTTGCCTTTCTGGTGTCATATGATCAATTCTAAGGACCACAATGGAAATAAGTCGGCTTATGCCTTCTTTTTGTGTCATCCTTGGTTTTGAATATATGGCATCAACACATGCACTTTCATGTTTACATGTATCTCTTGATGTTGACATTGAATTTGTAGTTGTTTTATGACATGTATTTTTTACCAGAATAAAACTATCTATCTATATCGGGTCATATTATGTTAATCGCAGCAAATTTACATGACAGTTGCAGACCCGGTTTGATTTGGTCTGATAAGCCTCAATAGCTTAGCTGCTACACTATAGAATAAATAGCTGCTAACTTTTTATGTCGTTTGACTTGTTTCTGTCGTGGTAGAAATTGAAAATGTTGAAACAATTGTCCGCCCAACCCATTTACTTTTGTTCTACACTTATTATCAATTTCATTTATCAGTTTGAAATGTCCTTGAATCAATTCTTACTACAGTAAATTAATATGGTACTGATATGAGTTATTTCTTGTGCTTATCTTAACTGCCAAAGAAACATCTTTTGTGCGTAGTTTTTGATTTGACCGATCGATCGATCGATTTATTTATTCATTTATTTATTTAAACAAGTGACCCCGACACAATGTGAATAACTTAATCACGGGGGTGGAACCCCATACGAATTTCAAAATTGTACATAATATAAAACTCATCAACATAGTAACGGATCATTAGCATAAAGCAATCAATATTTTTTTTGTGTGTATCATTCTGTAATAAAAGCTAATATTTGCAACATACAATAGTCGTACCAAGTCGATCTGGAATAACATCATCCATAAAAAGATAAAAAAAAACATTAAGCATTGATTATAACTATGTTTCGAAGTCCGTTACTCTTTCAAAAGTACACGTACGGTAGCTTCTATATTGTCACTAACGGTGATAATGAGGTTTGAGGAAGTACAAAATCATCATTGTCACCTTTTTCATTAAAATTATTCCGAATTATTTCATCCATTAGTACAATGATAGTATTAGGCATGGATCGTTGTCGCCATAAAGTACCTTTATTTTTTGCCAATATTCAATTCAAAGAACGATAAGGAAAGACAACATGTACCGTATAATGCAAATTTTTATCCAATAAGGTGATAAGTTCAATTACTTTTGCGAACGAATTTAGTTGCAAAAATTGGTTTATAAATATTAAATATTTCAATTATTAAACATTACAGTCATAACATTTTGTTAATGATATCATAAAACTTTTATCAAATATTTCTGGCATAACATGAATGTAGTCTTGACATTTGGCGAGGTAGATATCCAGAATCATTTCACATGAGATGACTACAATGGAGGCTAAGTATATGACAGATTCCTGTTTCAACAGTAAGATTCATTTACTTTATCTTCCCTAGGAACCGAACCATTTTCCCTTAAAGTACACAATAAGGCTTTAAATACAAATATGATTGATATTTATTTAAGGAGTAAAATGGGAAGGGGTATAATGTATATTTATAAGTACTTTTTGAAAGGTTTTGAATTATGTACCAAATAAAAGATGATGTTTGTTTCCCAAATGTGTTTGTACGAACAAATTACATCTAATGTCAGTAATTTCAAAACGTAAAATAACATTGACATTGATTGCATATAAAACATCTTTTCAAAATAGCATAAATCAAAATCAATTTAGTCAACTTTTGAAGATGATAATGACTCACCAAATGGCACTGCATGAATTGGTAACTATCGAGGAACTATAGAAGGGGCAAACAATATTTCTATTTTTCTTTAATTGTATTGCAAATTTACAAAAATAATTCAAAATTGTAAAACTTTTCGTTCAATTTCCCGAAAATTACTTCCTCATACGAAAGTTTAACGGAAACCACCATATCTTTTTCTTACTGATACATATGTTGGCGAACCATATAGAGATGGTCCCCCGTGTATTAGATTCCTTAAATGTACGTATGCAAATCGTTAAATTGTATTTAAGTTAAATTTAAAAAAAATTTGCAAACGACGTGCCTCAGTATTTTCAATTCAGTAATATAAATATATGTATCAATGGCGATGGAGTTATTTGACTTTCAATGAAGGTCAATGCGCAAAAGTACATAAACAAAGCAAGTCACTCATGCAATAGTTTACAAGGTTGTAGTGGACAATGTAAACACTGCGTTCCAATAATAGTACTGTCATCGTTCAATGGCGTCCTTTTGTTTCATCAACTAGTCTGTCAATATTTAATTGATATTTTAAATAATTTAGTATATTTAAGCCGGATCTTACATACCAACCTTTGTATAAATGTGCTCGCATCATTATAAAAGTGCCACTGGACAAAAGTACAAGCACTTTAACAGAATAATTTTACAAATATTGTTCAACCATATAAAAACAATAAAAACAATTTTCTTTTGTCGCTAACATACAAAACTTCGATGATGAACAATTTCGAGATCTTTATCAAGTTCATTTACACCATATTATACATATTGCTCTTTGTAATTGACTGTGTGGTGTGCCAAACTGGAGGTAAGTTAATATTATTTTCCTTTTTGCATTTTTAATTTTAGTTTGCATACGTTTAATTATAAACATGAAGAAAAAGGCAATTGTACATAATTTTAAAGTAAAAAAAGAAATTAAAATCTTTGATTGAACGGCCTTTTACTTTTTGTTTCAATTTGTTTCAAATTTTGAAATTTTGAATTTTGAAATGAAAATATTCAAGTACATGACCGCTTTAATACTTATTTTGCAACTGAATGCTCTTCATATACAGAACACTTCAAGGACAGGGTTTTTAATAAATGAGTTAGCTGACATTGAAATAAAAAGAAGAGACAAAAAGATTTATAAGGCTAACTGAAAATAACGAATGGTTGGTGATTTATATATGCATGTTGTTAATTGTTGTCGTTATCGTTTGTTATTTTGTCGTTTAGGTTCGTGTAACTTTTAAATACTTTTCGTGGACCCCGGGAGATGCTTTGGTAGTTTAGAGCGGAGGAAGGTGGTCTAGTACTGGTGTAACTCTCCAGGAACGATGGTTAGGAAACTACCCGCCTATATGACTGAAATACTGTTGTTTCAAGTTTTCAAGTTTTATATAGTTTCAGCATATAACAAAACAACTAGTTTCAAAAATATTTCAATGTTATTATCTTCAAGTATAACTGAAACATCATTATTACATAACATGTAATTTTCTAAGTCATTTAGGTACAGAGAAAAAATTAACGGTGACAAATTTTCTCCTTGTCTTAAGCCCCTATAATAACCAAAAAAAATTGAAAATTTGCCATTTACAGATACACATGACTTGATTTCACTGTACATATTCTTTATTACATTTAAAATCTTTACAGAAATATTATATTTGACAAGTTTACACCAAACGCCTGCTCTCCATACAGAGTCAAAGGCTTTTTGAAAGTCAATAAAAGCACAAAAATGTTTTGTTTTCTTATGTTTAAGGTAATCTGTTAACATGTGGAGAATAAAAATATTATCAACAGTTGAATGATGCTTCCTAAATCCAGCTTGGTTTGAATTTAATAAATTATAACTTTCTAAATATTTTGTCAAACTTTCATTTAGTATACTTGTAAATAATTTCCCTATACAACTAAGCAATGTAATAGGTCTATAGTTTTCAGGCATTTCAATATTACTTTTATTTTTATAGATTGGTACAATACATCATGTCAACCAAAAATCTGGCAAAACCAGTGTTTAGAATACAGTTAAACAATTTGTGATAAAGTGGTATAAGTAAAGTACTGCTTCCCTTAATATATTCAGGAAACACTTACGGGTGTCGGGAATATACTTTGAGTACATGCAATTACAACTTAATTGAATATTGGGTTACAGAACAGTGTAACTTAGAAAAATGAAGCACATTTCATGAATTTCAGAGAGAAATCTTGAAATCTCCTTGATCATTGTAAAGTAAGTACAGTAACGGAAAGGATCATTCTAAATCGAACATTCTAGAATTTATAAATTAATATATCGGAATCAAATTTTCCAGTTCAGAGGTTGTTTACATTTAACGGTTAATTATTATAAACACAAGCCCGCCGGGCGTGTTTTGCGCACTATTTTGTAAGCGTCTGTAGGTGGCAAAGGATTATATCTTCTAAGCTTTTGTGATACACAATGGCCAGAGATTATTTAAATTGTTTTAATTCTGCAATATCTGTACTTAATGTTTTCAGGCAGTTTTAATATACTACAATTACTCTTGTTAGTAATACCAACTGTATTATGATGCCAAAAGGTTTACTTTTATGTTAAATTTTTCTATTGCTTTTGGCACTTTCATTGAATGAGACTGTCGGAATAGTGATCGAGATTTTGAATATCTGAAAACTCGACTATTTCTCGGGAGTTAGGGACTTTCTTACAATTTTACTGGGAATAGATACTTCTATTTCAGCGGCTACAGTAGTATCAAACGTTGCTTTAGGTAAAAATGCCTACCAAAGCACGAGTGAGTACAGTAACGAAGGTGGGGCACATCTAGCGGTAGATGGGAACTTCAATCCATACTGGAGTGGTAAATCGTGCTCGCATACATCTTCGGAGTTCGGAGCTTACTGGGAGGTTGATTTAGGTGATGTCTACGTTGTTGAATCCGTCAGTTTATACAACAGGCTGGACGCTTGTTGCAGTGAGTGTCTTGAGTATTTTCTTGTATTTTTCTTGCACTGTATCCTTCAAATAAAATCGTCTTTTAACTATGAACCTTGAATGATGTGGCTATAGACATTGGTTTAAACATATCTATTTAAGCTCGATTGCGAAACAAGTTCTTGCAGCTTATATTAATCACTTTCGAGTCCACTTGACTTCCTGGAAACAACCAGTACTGGTGTCATATGAAGATACATGGTCGTGACCCGATTAATGCTCGAACCCAATGATCCTTGGGTTGAGAGGCAAACACCTTAACCACTAGGCCACCGCTCCCCTGACAACTAGGCCACCGCCCCTTGCCACTTTAGACATGTGACTGGATTTGCTTTAAATAACTTCATTTAATTATATTGATGAAATTTCATGTATGTGTAGAATACACGTTTCATGTACATGTATGTATATTTTGATATCTGATATATCTATGGAAGCGCAAAGATCACATACAGATTTATTGTCTTCCTTTTTGAACACAAGTATAAAATTAATGATAAAAAACTTAAAACAAATAAAATACAAACGAACTAAAATGTCTCGTTACGGAACGAAATCATTAAAAAATAACCTCAACATCAAATCAACTTGCGGTCATGAGAAATTAAAAAAAAAATAAAAACTCAGCTTTATTAGAAAAAAATGAACAAACAATAGGCCTATGTATGTCATCACTGTTCCGACATTCTGTCTGACTGAAATGAAATTTGTATTTTGTAAAATGACGTAATACATTAAGGTTGCCTTTGAAATTCTTAAAGTAAAACGCTGCCCAATACGCCAACCTTGAACTGTTGCCGTCGTTAGTCTGCTTTTACAACAATAACAGTTACATATTATCCCCCGCCGAAAAGGCGGTGGGGGATATAGAAATAGTCTCCGTCCGTCTGTCCGTCGTTCTTCTGTCCGTCCTTCCGTCCAACATTTTGTCCGGAGCATATGTCAAAAAGTGTTAGACGTATCAACTTGAATCTTCATAGGTGTATAGATCTCATTGAGGAGGAGCGCAGCACACAAGAATGATAACATATGATTATCCTGCATTATTTTTCAGTAATTGCCCTTTGTTCTGGGACAGGACACTCATAAGCTTTCATAGCTTTCTGACTGTATATATATTGTTCATTATAATGTAAATATACCGAATACAATATGTTTAAACCAATTGCCCTTTGTTATTTTTCATACTTAATTTTTGTCTAGAGCATAAATTAAAAAGCCTTTGAGATACCAACATGAAACTTCATAGGTGAATGGATCTCACTCAGGAGGTGTGCAGTGCACAAGAATGATAACAGTATCTTTCATAATTTTTGAGCTATTGCCCTTTGTTATTTTTCAAACTTATTTTTGCCCTGAAACCCTCTATATAATAAGGGGCTCACAATAACCTTACTATTGACCTTGAGAACTGAAAATAAGGGAACTGGCATTCACATAGGTTTCAAATTTGTAATCACTTTAGGCTTTTAAGCAGTGCTGTTTGGCTGATTGCTGCTCTAACAAAAATTCTTTCATATGCATAAAATAGATATGTAAAAGTGATAGTTCTAGGTTCAAAAGCAACATTATGATACAGTAAATATGGAGTAAAAATATGAAATTGATAGTTATTCATTTTCAGTAGATATTTCAGGATTTATAAGTTCCAAAATGGATTTTCTCTGTTTGATTTTTGGATGAATATCAGTGATTTTGAGATTATCCCTAAACACCTATATGGGATTTAACAACTGGATTATTATAGAGTGGTTATTTATAAAAACTTGATATTCATCTGTAAATATGAGTAATAACATTGAAAATCGGAGTAATATTAAAAACACACATAATAAAGAAGAACAATCAAAGGATCAGACAAGGTTTCTGACTAAATTAAAATTCTCAGGTGAAAAGTCAGGTCCTAAGCCTCCAGCAAAGAGATTTCAACCGGATTATAGTAACAGTACTGCTAGTGACACGAGTTCTAGAAATATAAGTGTATTAACTAACACAACTACGGAGGACCTTGAGAGTATACAAGTACAGCTAGAGGTTATGACAAGTACAAAAAGTGACTTAAGGGGTGATCTCAAAAGTGTGTTGAAAAAAATGAAACAGAGGAATTAATTAAGAACATTATGTCATCTTAAGAACAAAAACTGATTGAAAAAACTGATAGTGCCCTAAAGGATAGAACAAAGGTAATGAATGAAAGATTAGACTCTCTGGAATTTGAAATTGACCCATTCAAAGACAGACTTAAGGATTATGACAATAAAGCAAATCAGAAAATTAGAAAAAATAGAAGCGAATGTAAGCAGGAATTAGGATGTGAGTATAGAGGCCAGCAACAGATCAAACTACAACGAACAATTTTCCTGCAAGAACAGTGTGAAAATAATGGAGATACCAAAAGACAAGGATGAAGATATGGAGAAACTGGCAAACACTATAAAATCCGTCTTGCAAAAAGATGCTAATATAACACTGGACAATGAAGATATAGTGGCATTGCATAAAAGACCATCCAAGAAAGAAAATATAAGGCAAGTCTTAATAAGACTTAAGAGTAATAGTGTGAAGGCTACAATCATGAGGAAACGAAAACTGATGAATAAAAAAGACCATAAACTTGTGGATGATGTAACAAGACTAGACCATGGACTTATTAATAGGCTGATGCAACACCTTAACATTGAAGGCGCATGGTATTTCAATGGCTCTATGTATGGACTTACAACATACCATGAGCGTATCAGGTTTGATATATATGACAATATAAACAATACAATAGAGGAATTTAGAAACAGACAAAGAGGTGGTAGACCAGACCTAAAACAGAGGAAATGAAGGGAATGAAGACTTCAAAGGAACAGCAAGATCTTGTTTTTGTTTCTTTTAATTTCTATACTTTAAAACTAGCCTCAGGTACATTAACCAAAAGACATAAGTCAGTTTTAAATTGTTTAATAGATACAGACCAAACAGGATTTTTGAAAGGAAGATTTATAGGAGTGAATACACGATAAGTCTATGATATAATGAATAATTTAGAAGAACAAAGAATGCCAGGTCGGTTAGTAATGATTGACTTTGAAAAAAGCATTTGATACATTTTCCTTTAATTCTATAAATAAGACTTTTGAATTCTTTAATTTTGGCCCAATGTTTAGAAAATGGATCTGTCTTTTTATGCTGAAACTGCTGTTCAAATGAATGGATTTTTGTCTTTTTTTAAATAGGGCGTGGTTGTCATCAAGGAGACCCTATCAGTCCTTATATTTTATCTTATGTGCCGAAATATTAGCCATTAAATAAAATTTAAAAGTTATATATATCAACGGCACAGGGTATAAGATTTCGCAGTTTGCTGATGATACCTCTTTACGGTTAGATGGATCTGAGCAGTCTTTAAATTATACACTTGATATTTTACATGAATTTTCTATAATTTCTGGATTAAAAGTTAACTTTGAAAAAAACTTTTGTAATATGGATTGGCTCTTTAAAATATAGCATTAGATCAATAAAAACTAGGTGGAAATTAATTTGGGGTAGAACATCATTTAGATTACTTGGTATTAACTTTCATGTTGATTTAGAAAAAAATGATAGCATTGAATTATACTGAAAAGACAATAAATATAAAAAAAATATATCCAGTGTTGGAAAAGAAGGGTATTAAAACTACTGTTACTTCCTTCATTAACTAATTTGTTTAAGTCACTGCCAAATCCTAATTTTCAGATGTTAAAGGAATGAATAATATGTTTTATAATTTTGTTTGGCAAGGTCCGCCAAAGATTAAATCTTCTGTATTGGTGAATGAATATGTAAATGGTGGTCTTAAAATGATTGATGTATGTGCCTACATGAAAAGTTTAAAACTTTCATGGTTAAGAAGAATTGTATCATCTGATATTATGAAGCTGTTTAATTGTGGAAACTTATAAAAAAGAATATAATATATAATACATGTAGTTTGGAAAATTCATTTTGGAAATATGTTTTAGGTGCTTATATTGAATTTGTAGAGAAATATTACCCATTATTTCTATGGAAATGTTGTTAGAAATGCCTCTGTTCTATAACCAAAATATTTTGATGGATAGAAAACCTATTTTCATAAAAACATTGTATGATATAGGCATAAGGTTTATCAAAGATATAATGAATGTGAATGGTATTTTCCTTGAAACGACTGAATTGGAAGCAAGATCAGGTATTAAAATTAACTTTATTTACTACGAATTAGTCATCTGTGCTGTCAAGAAATACAGAAGTATATTAAGTTGAAAGTTATGTGATAATTATGAAATTGCATCCTATTCTCACATTATGTTATGTTATATGTGAGAATGTATATAGTAGAGCAGATTTTTTAGAAAACTTTACTCCCCTCGTCATAGGTATATTGGGGTCGATGCCATTCCCCTGCATACCTTACAAAGATTCTATACTTTATTGTGTTTAAGGTACATCAGACATGTATAATATATACCTAAAAATGATGATATTCCAATGGAATACTTGCTTTCAAATACATGTAAGTCAATATGACTGGAATTAAGTACATAGCTGTTTTTTTTTTTTTTTTTTTTTTTTTTTAAATTACCAATGATTCTTACTTGCTATGGTTTCAGACAAGACTAACACATAGAATATTAGCTACTAATATCTTCTTTTGGAAATGAATATGTCAGATACAAGTATGTGTACTTTTGTAAATCATAACATGAAACATTGTTACACCTATTTTGGGAATGCTTATTTTTTAAACTATTGATTACAGAAATTATTAAAATTGTAAGGAAACATGGTGCTTTATTTGATATTGATTGTCAAACTTTTATATTAGGAAATACAAAAAAGAGCCAGTCAAAGTACAATTTCCTATGTCTAGAGATAAAATGCAAGAGAAAATTACTTTACCAATATAGATGTATTAGTTAGAAGTTTTAAATTAGCCTCTTCAATTATTGATGCATGTGCAACAATAACAAAAGATAACATAATGAATTGGACAATTGTTTAAAAATCATTTAATAATGTTTTGAAGTAAAGTAAATTTATAATTAATTAATATACATCAATTGCCTTTTGTTAAAAATTTGGGTATAAGTAATACTTACGTTTCCAGAACCAGAAAGTTCAGTTTTGTCAATTTTATTACTGTTTAAAACAATATTTAAACGTAAATTTTCCTGAAACGTCATATTGAAAGGTGGACACACTTAACAATTGCACAACCAAATAAATTGACCATGACGCACGTTTAGGCAAAATGGTTGTCTATTGTTACAAAAGGTTGACAATGACCCACGTTTAGGTAAAATGGTTGTCTATATTGATACAGAAGGTTGACAATGACCCACGTTTAGGTGAAATGGTTGTCTATTGTTACAAAAAGTTAACAATGACCCACTTTTAGGTAAAATGGTTGTCTATTGTTACAAAAGGTTGACAATGACCCACTTTTAGGTAAAATGGTTGTCTATATTGATGCAGGAGGTTGACAGTGACGCACGTTTAGGCAAAATGGTTGTCTATATTGATACAAAAGGTTGAAAAATACCCATGTTTAGGTAAAATGGTTGTCTATTGTTACAAAAGGTTGACAATGACCCACTTTTAGGTAAAATGGTTGTCTATATTGATGCAGGAGGTTGACAGTGACGCACGTTTAGGCAAAATGGTTGTCTATATTGATACAGAAGGTTGAAAAATACCCACGTTTAGGTAAAATGGTTGTCTATTGTTACAAAAGGTTGACAATGACCAACTTTTAGGTAAAATGGTTGTCTATTGTTACAAAAGGTTGACAATGACCCACTTTTAGGTAAAATGGTTGTCTATATTGATGCAGGAGGTTGACAGTGACGCACGTTTAGGCAAAATGGTTGTCTATATTGATACAGAAGGTTGAAAAATACCCACGTTTAGGTAAAATGGTTGTCTATTGTTACAAAAGGTTGACAATGACCCACTTTTAGGTAAAATGGTTGTCTATATTGATACAAAAGGTTGACAATGACCCACGTTTAGGTAAAATGGTTGTCTTTTGATACAAAAGGTTGACAATGATATGATCCACGGTTAGGTAAAATGGTTGTCTATATTGATACAGAAGGTCGACAATGACCAACTTTTAGGTAAAATGGTTGTCTACTGTTACAGACGGTTGGCAATGACCCACGTTTAGGCAAAATGGTTGTCTATTGATACAAAAGGTTGACAATGACCCACTTTTAGGTAAAATGGTTATCTATTGTTACAGACGGTTGACAATGACCCACGTTTAGGTAAAATGGTTGTCTATTGATACGTTACAGACGGTTGACAATGACCCACTTTTAGGTAAAATGGTTGTATATTGTTACAGACGGCTGACAATGATCCACGTTTAGGTAAAATGGTTGTCCTTTGAAACAAAAGGTTGACAATGACCCACTTTTAGGTAAAATGGTTGTCTATTGTTACAGATGGTTGACAATGACCCACTTTTAGGTAAAATGGTTGTCTATTGTTACAGACGGTTGACAATGATCAACGTTTAGGTAAAATGGTTGTCCATTGATACAAAAGGTTGACAATGACCCACTTTTAGGTAAATTGGTTGTCTATTGTTACAGACGGTTGACAATGACCCATTTTTAGATAAAATGGTTGTCTATTGTTACAGACGGTTGACAATGATCCACGTTGAGGTAGAATGGTTGTCTATTGATACAAAAGGTTGACAATGACCCACTTTTAGGTAAAATGGTTGTCTATTGATACAGAAGGGTGACAATGACCCACTTTTAGGTAATATGGTTGTGTTCTGATACAGAAGGTTGACCATGACCTACTTTAGCTAAAATGGTTGTCTATTGTTACAGATGAAAATCTTGTTGGAGCCGAGGTACACATTGGATTGACAAGAGACACGTATAGAGTTGTAGGTTATAAAACAGGATCCATCTACATATCACATACGTTCGAAATATCACCTCCAGTTTATACTAGATGGGTCCGAATTACAAGGAACCCTGATATCAAAAAACCTTTGGTCCTCTGTGAAGTAGCAGTGAATGGCTCTAAGTCAAGCTCTGGTATTTTTTTTTTTGTATTTTAGTATTTTATTCATATCATTAAATTGTGTCTCAGCAGGAAGTGAACCGAACCTTCGAAGTTTATGTGTTTTTTTAATTTTTAAGAAATCTTCGATATTTATTCGTTGCTACTGAGTTGCTCTTATAGCAATCGGAACATCATCGGCTATTATCTATAATTATCCGAAGACTGACGGAAAGGGCCGAAAAGTTGCGATTGGCTCTTATAGTAGATAGATGTATATATTTACAGGTAGCTTCATTCCGTTTAAAACACCCACAAAAACAAAATGTTGTGAAACATATGTAAAAACATGGTAAAAAAAGAAAACAGGAAATTAAACCCCTAACAATGACATTATACTTGAGATGACAGATAATAGAGAACTAAATCTCTTGTTTTCATTGTGGTCCGTAAATACTGATGGCTTATTGTACTGACATATAGATGCCTAAATTGAACATTTAAGTCCCAAATTAAAAAAAGAAGATAAAAGTATACATATAATTTTGTTAATTAAAATACATTGAACAGAAATATTATGAGGCTATGTATCGAAGTGATACATTTGAAGAAAATGTCTTTAACTGACAATTTAAATTAAACAACTAAGTGTTGGGCATTGAAGAAGAGGGTAACATGTTTCACAGAAAATTCATCAATTATATGCGAGCGATTTGCAATTATTTACAATGGTCTCAGTATAAGTTTCTAGCGTTCAACTTTTTAAAAGTTATGTCGCTCTTCTTTTGAGAACACAATTAAAATAATGCAAAAAATGGGATTTTACAGTTTCACAATTTATGGGGCAAACATGTTTCTTTGCTGCCTAATCAAGACTAATGTTTTATCATCAATATTTTGGCTTGATCCACTCAATACTAAATCCTCTGCCTGTTTTATGTTTCCGTTACACTTAAACATATGTATGTAAGTATTCTGGTCGTATGGAATAAAACCTTGTCATGGACAAGTCGTTGTTTTCTTGAGCAAGAAACTTTACACACTTTGCCCGGGAACGGATTCAAAATTGTGATTATTAGCTTATAGCTTTCTACGCAATCCAACTAAAATAAATTCTGTATAAACCAAGTATGTCGGTAAAAAGAATGTTTTTGTCTATTACAGGAAGCTTCGAACGGATTTCTGACGTGACAGGAACGGGAAATACTCTTGAAACGAAGTTTGCCAGGTCTATAGAACATTGTTGTTACATTTGTTTCATCACTCAAGACTGTTTGGCAGTTACAATGGACAATTCTCAATGTTCTTTACTTGACTCAGATAATTACAAGAGTGAATTAGGACAAACGATTTATGTTATCAAGTAATTGCGTAAAAGTGATGGCAGAAAAATTGCGGCCATACTGCATGCTGAATCCCATTTTTTAAATTTTCTGATAACTTAACAGAATAAAGAAATTGAAGAAAAAAATAAAGTATTTAATGCAGTCAATTGATGGTAGCGTATAATTATGCTAGGACCTGGTTTACTGAAACACGTATCTGGTTTACTGATACACGTATCTGGGTTACTGATACACGTATCTGGGTTACTGATACACGTATCTGGGTTACTGATACACTTATCTGGGTTAATGATACACCTATCTGGGTTACTGATACACGTATCTGGGTTACTGATACACGTATCTGGGTTACTGATACACGTATTTGGGTTACTGATACACTGATTGATACATGTGTATTAGTAACCCAGCTATAGGATAAATTATAACTCTGTAATTGATATAAAACTCTCATTGTTTCGATGTCCTGGCGGGTATGCTTAAATCAATGTTGTATTTTGCCAGGAATCCTAAAACATATGTGTCTAATTTGTATAAAGACAGTGCTGACACGCTTGTAGTCATTAAAGTTTATCCTACTGTCATGGACATTAATATATTGTATCATAGTTTTGGGACCTTTCTGTTGAAAAAGTGTCAGAGTTAAATCGTATACATATACATGCACAGTTCGGTAACTAGAGTGCAGGTATCAGTTACCCGCACCCCAGATAACGCCCGTTGATTGGTTCATTTTCGCTGGGGTTTACTAATTGTGACGGAAGAGAAAGGGAAAGGGACAGAACTATCATATTCAAATGCTCGTTTATTGGTTAAGTTTTTCTGGGGTTTCGTATTATGACAACAGGGAACGTGCTGTCATGTTTGACTATGATACAAAAGAGAAAGAACACCAAAACACTCGGCAATCTGATTTATACTCGGGGGCTACGCCCCCTCGTACAAATCAGATAGCCTCGTGTTTCGGTGCTCTTTCTATTACTTAGTACATGTAATATTCGGATTAAACGTTAGTTTAAATATGTTCATTTGAGCAGGCTTGCAGAAAAGGTTCTTGCAACTAATGTTTATCACTTTCGAGTCCGTTTCCTAGAACCAACCAGTATTGGTGTCGTGTGAAGAAATAAGGTCGTTACCTGAGTAGGGCTCGAACCCATGATCCTTGTGTTGAGAGGCAGGTACCTTAACCACTTAAACACCGTTCCCCTTTACGATATGTAAACCTTACCAAATATAACCAAAATAAAAAAGCACATGCGTGACCTTTTTTTACTGTATAAAAGGTGGCTATCAAAGATTTTGGACCCAGAACTATGTCCAAAACATCTGAAAAGAAAAATACAAAACTTAAAAAGATATATAAATCTATTTTTTTAGACGAACTTGTTTCCTTTCTTACAGTATACAAATGGATAGATTGTAAAATTCAGATGACTGCAATGCAACAGCTCTCTCACCTATGCGTTTTGTAAAAATGCAAAATAGTTCCCCGTTAGGTGGAGTCAACGCGTTAAAGCAGGACCTACTGTTTCAACGACATAAAAGTCTCGGTAAACTGACCTCACTACATGAGATCAGAGATAAGAAAACATTGTTTTTCCATCTGAAGAAAATGTAAATAAATATGTTTTGCAACAAAGCAAGATACTTAAAATAGGTCCTGAAGTGTAAATCTGATGTACGTAAATATTTTATGTCTGACGACTTGCAATATAAATCGCGTCATTTCGCAGTAAATGATGCACCTTATTCAAATTCGTATAAGACTCGGCTGCTTCGCAGCCGAATGATAGCGCCACCTCTGTCTGCGCGATTTTGTCATCGTATTTTCGCCATCACATTTCGCATTTTCGGTCCATTTTTCGTTGTTACGTCCTCAAAAAATATTTAAACGTACGAAATACACAAGGTGCCTACAGCCACTCCTTTGTCACCATCCGCCCGATTCCGTTGCACATTCGATTTTGTACGAGTGTGAAGGCTTTACAGAAATGTAAGTCTCCAAGCCGTAGCCCAAGTAAAACGTCCGTGACAGCTCCGTGCGTGCGGTCAGTTGTTCGTTGTTGTAAAGGTACTTAAAAAAAACAAAGGACGCCTACAGCCACTGCTTCGAAACCGCTCGTCCGATTCCGTTGCGAATTCAATTTTGTACAAGCATGAAAGATCACCTTTATATTACAGAAATGTAAATCTCCAAGCCGTAGCCGAAGTACCACGTCCGTGAGAACTCAGCGCGCGCGGTGCATTTTTCGTTGTTACGTCCTGAGTAATATTTAAACGTACGAAAAACCACAAGGTGCCTACAGCCACTGCTTTGACACCATCCTACCGATTCCGTTGCGCATTCGATTTTGTACAAGTGTGAAGGGTCCCCTTTACAGAAATGTACGTCTCCAAGCCGTAGCCCTGTAAAACGTCCGTGACAGCTTCGTGCGTGCGGTCCTTTTTACGTTGTTGTAAAGGTGCGTAAAAAAACACAAGACGCCTACAGCCACTGCTTCGACGCCGCTTGTCCGATTCCGTTGCAGATTCAATTTTGTACAACCATGACGGATCACCTTTACAGAAATGTGAGTCTTCAAGCCGATGCCCAAGTAAACCGTCCGTGACAGCTCTGTGCGTGCGGTCCTTTTTTCGTTGTTGTAAAGGTATGTAAAAAATCAAGACGCCTACAGCCACTGCTTCGACACCGCTCGCCCGCTTTCGTTGCGGATTCGATTTTGTACAAGCATGAAGGATCACCTTCAAACATTGACTTTCCATAGGAACCATTGACATCCCATAGCAACCAGTGACTCACCCTGTAATCATGCACTCTCCAGAGCGACCAAATACGCATGTAACACTTAATGACTTGCCATAGTAATTATTGACTTCCCATAGCAACCGTTGACTTCCTTAGCAAACGTTGACTTTCCATAGCAACCACTGACTTCCTATAGCAACCACTGACTCACCTAGTAATTATGCACTCTCCGGCCATAGACTCCTTTAACATTAAATGACTTGCTATTTGAACAACTGACTTCCTATAGCAACCGTTGACTTCCTAAGCAAACATTGACTTTCCATAGCAGCCAGTGGGTTCCCATAGCAACCAGTGACTCACCTAGTAATCATGCACTCTTCAGAGTGACCAAAGACCCTTTTAACACTAAATGACTTGCCATAGGAACCATTGACTTCCTAGAGCAACCGTTGACTTCCTTGGCAAACATTGACATTTTAAAGCAATCAGTGACTTCCCATAGCAACCAGTGACTCACCTAGTAATCATGAACTCTCCAGAGCGACCATAGACTTCTTTAACACTAAATGACTTGCTATATGAACAACTGACTTCCTATAGCAACCGTTGACTTCCTTAGCAAACATTGACTTTCCATAGCAGCCAGTGTGTTCCAATAGCAACCAGTGACTCACCTAGTAAACATGCACTCTTCAGAGTGACCATAGACGCCTTTAACACTAAATTACTTGCAATAGGAACCACTAACTTCCAATAGCAACCGTTGGCTTCCTTAGCAAACATTGACTTTTCATACCAACAGTGAATTCCCAAAGCAACCAGTGACTCACCTAGTAACCATGCACTCATCAGACCGACCATAGACGCCTTTAGCACTAAATGACTTGCCATAGAAACAATTGACTTCCCATAGCAACCGGTGACTTCCATAGCAAACATTTACTTTTCATAGCAACCAGTGACTTCCCATAGCAACCAGTGAATCAAATAGTAACCATGCACTCTCCAGAGCGACCACAGACGCCAGAATTCCAGTGTATTCCCGACAGACACACCTATACCAGCGGACTTCCGGTCAGACCCCCAACCATCCCACCATACGGGGTTCTGCGTGATTGAGTCTGTGCCTCACAGGGGCCATCCGAAATTGGCGAGATATGAGCTGAGATGACCGTCTATAGTACGATTTTCGACTCAATATCGGCAAAATATCAGAATACACGGACACACCTATACCCGCAGACACCCGGACACGCAATGCACGACACACATCTTCAATCTGTCGTCGGGTTTTTTCATCTAATGTAGCCTTGATTTCAGTTATTCTGGCTAGCCAGAGATTTTTGTGATAAGTAATTTGAAACTACATTATGGAATTGTGTTGTTTTCTGTTCAACCATTACACTGTGCACTATCTAGTCAACACATGATTTTCATTTTTCTCTAAAAATGATAAATGGCTTTGATCTTATTAAAATATGGTCAAGTCCATTTAAATAGTTATCGGGTTCTTTAATTAATTACAAAGATTTGCATCCGTTTTCAATAGTAAACCCTTACATTACCTGCATTGCGTCTGTATATTTCCTTGCTTCCAGAAGCTGCCGAAATTTCAAAGCATTGACTTAAATGCACTTAAATCAAATTAACGAGAATAACATAAAATACAATTTAATTTCGCAATTTAACAATAAAATGTTTCATTTAATTTTTTATTCAAAGTCGATAACGTGATCGTTTCAACGTATTCAACAAGATATAAGGGGTGTTAATGTGGTACAATTTAAAGGTTGCTACTGGATACAAACAATGTCCTATGTCTATGTCGCTAGCAACAACACGACGCACTAAAGCGTTCCAAATCAGCCACCATATAGTTATGTTCTATGATCGACTAAAATGAAAATTTGTATGTTTCACAAGTCATGATGAGCAAAAATCTTATTGTCTTCAATGGCCGTATAGACATCATTTATAACAGGCTCTAAATCGGAAGAGCTATATAAAGTATTCGAATCCCATCGTCTCCACTAATGAAGGTAAATTTGTGCTCAAAAAATGGCTATTATGTACCATTAACATCAAATATTATAGTTAAATGTTATTTCAACATATATCCAGTTGTAAAAAATAGTTTGATCGGGAATGGAGGAGGAGTCCATAAGTCGTTAATAGGGTCCTTATTCTATGTTTTTATAAACCTTTAAAAAAGGGGCAAATTCTGCAAGAAAATGATTGCAGAACATCAACTTATCAACAATATATATGTACAGCAGCACACTATATGTTCATATCGCACTGTGACATTAAAATTTGAAACTTGTCGCCGCCCATGTTTAGCAAAAACAATGTTTTGTATGCC